ATGGCTTGCTCTATTTCAAGAAGTGGATTTATGTACCTGAAAATGCTATATTTCAAACGTGCATACTTCAAGAAGGACATTACATCCCAATATTTAGATATTTGGGACGAGAAAAGACTTTAGAACGGATTTCAAGGACATGATTTTAGGCAAGCTTGGATTGTAATATTTGAGCCTTTGTGTACTCCTGCGAGTCATATCAACGTAATAAAGCATACAACATAGCATCTCTTAGACTATTGTAGCTAATTCTACTACCTACGATATGTTGAAAGCAGGTGACTATGAATCTCATTACATGTTTGCCACAGGCACTTCATAATCATACTTTAGTTGCCGTCTTTAAGAATCAATTCTTGAAGCAACTTCATTTGGCCACAATGCTCTTGGATATTAATGCCCTAGTACTTGTACAAGTCTTCTTTGATATTGTCTTTCATCACCATGGATTACTTTGTGTCATCATTTCACATTGAGATCCACACTTCATGAAAAGTTTTTGGCAAACCTTGTTTAAGCTATTAGGCATATGACTTGTCATGTCTATAGTCTTCTATCTCCAAATAGATGGGCAAATAGAGTGTACAAATCAGACCTTAAAGGATATATTATAGATATTTGTGGTGGTTCATCATAATGATTATGATGAATACTTGATGTCCTTGAAATTTGCTTATAATGATAGTATTCAAGCAAGTACAAGTCATTCACCATTTTTCTTTAATATTGATTAACATTTGATTATGCTAGTAACTTTCCATCATCCCATTGACACCAATAATCCAATAATGGAAGAATTTATAAAATGACATACAACAGCCTTATAAGAGGCATGGCACCACCTCTTTATTATATAGAATCAATAAAAGTAATATATAGATAACCATTGACAACATAAGACCTTCTAGGAGGGTGAGTAGGTATTATTCTCCAATGCCAACTTGCCACTTGCTACATCAACTCAAATCTGTAAGCTAGCACCTCAATGGCTTGGACCTTTCTCCATTTCTGCAATGATTTTTAATGTTGCATATTGCCTTGACCTTTTGCCACATACTTGGGTCCATCTAGTCTTCTATGTTTTGCAAATGAAAGAATTTCATATTGAGCCAAAGTGCTTTTTGGATCAATACCAACCACTACCACCATCAGTTGTAATTGATGATCAATAAGAATATAAAATAAATAGCATTTTGGAACATTGCTACCTTTGCTGTGGCAATGGATGTCGACAACTTCAGTACAAAGTTCTTTAGAAAGGTTATCTCATTTATGATGCAATGTGAGAACCTGCACAAAACTTCATCCATTGCTAAGAGACAATGTAGAAATATCATCGAGATCAAAATGAGGATGTTCTGCATTAGTAGAAGATGATTAATTATAATAGGGTATAAAAAAGATATTTGTATAGGAATAGATAGTTAGAACCATAGAAGTTTTTAGAATTGAGGTTAAATTAGTAGACCGGATAGGATCCACTAAAGAACATTCTAAAAAGAATTTAGGGCAATTATTTAGGTAGGATCCATCATAGAACCTTCTAAAAAAGGCTTAGGGCGGTTATGTAAGTAGGGCCTACCATAGGACCTTCTAGAAGGAATTTAAGGCAGTTACCTAAATGGGATCTATTACCTAGGAACATTCTAGAAAGTCAAAGGTGGTAGAACAAAGTATAAATAAGACTAACTAGGGCCTTTTAGGATACTTGGTCAAGTATGGCTTCAAACCTTCTCTCTTAGTAAAGTTTGGTTTTGCATCTTCTTATTCAATTCAATTTTGTTCTATTTCCATTAGTTCAATTTTTTTTTGGTCTATTTTGTCTTACTTTGTGATAAGGTTTTATATTGTTGTGGATTTAAAGAGTCTTAGACACCCAAGATAGATTGGTCATGTTTCATATTATATGCCAAAAACACCAAAAAAAATTGGGTATAAGATAAACATACAATAAAATATTAGTAGAAGATATAATTTATGGATTTACCAAATGAGTGTTCATATGTTCTAATGTCAAAACAAAAGAGATAGATGTTTTAAATACTACCACAATATAATTAAAAAAAATAAAATATAATCTTAAAATTTATTTTTAGTCTTTTAAATTAGATTCAATGGCATATATAGCCAAAAATAATATAAAAAGTTTTTAGAGAACATACTTTATAAAACTTAATAGAATCTAATTGAAGTGACAACCCATATCCAAACTTCAAATTTAATTCAAAAAAGATATGACTTATTTAATTTAACTAAACTAAATAATAAATTCTTATATGATTGTTTTGATATTAAGAGATTATTAGTAATATGTAAAGAACAATGCTAAGCCATCATTCTAATAATAATAAAAAATATACCTATAAATTTATGTTCAATTATTTATAAAGTACAAGAATATCCTTAAGAAATGTGTGTTTGAGATTAGATAACACTTCTAATTTATAAAATAGAAAATAGTCTTAAAAGTGAAAAATTATAAAAAGTGTCTTCATAGCAACAAAAAAAAATTGTAAGTAGTATATTATCAAGTTTTTAAAGTTTATCAACTAATTAGTTTGTACTTAAAAAAAATAATTATCAAAAATCTAAACTTATTAAAATAAAAATAATAAAGCATAATAAAATGACCATTAGACAAAGAAAATAATATGATATAATTTTGTAATATACAATTATTTGATGTAGAAAGTTAAATGAATTAAATAAGTAAAAATATTTTTACATAGATGAAAGAAATTATGTATGACTAAAAACTTGCTTTGAAAATAGGCACAAAAATATTTTAGAATTCTACAATTCTACCAATTGGTCTAAAAATCTATAAGTTAAAGGAAACAATGTTGGTACTAATAGAAATTTATTATAATAAGTTAATATTTTCTTAGGTTTCATTTATCAATAGGATGTTTTGGCCTTGATGTTTTTTTTAATTGTTTTATCTTTTTATCAATGTCTTAAAAAATATTCTTTGTAATTAAATTTGTATATGAAAAAAACAAAACAAAAAACAAAAAATACACCAATTGCTATAAAATATAGATAATCTTAGAAGATCTTTATATTACAACTATTGATACTTAGAATTTGTTAAATCAAGAAGTCTTATTTAATTGGCCAATTAATCAAGAGACCTTAAGAAGAAAAAAGATGAAATGGAATACATTATTTTTTATGTGACCTAAATATTTTTATACTTTAGAATTTGCATCAAGATTTACTTCAAAAGGCAAATTTTATAGAAATTAAATTATACAAAGTGGATTTTTGTATAATTTAATTTCTATAAAATTACTAAAAACCAATACTAAAATTTTCAAATGAACTTTTTTATATTATTATTATTTTAAAGTTTAGTATATGAAATTCCATATTTAAATTTACAATAGGATAATTTGGTTCATTTTATGACCCCTTCTCACTTCATAATATTAATGGTGTCTCTAAATAAAAACAACTTTTTTTTCACCAAATACTAAACCTTTATAAAACTTTTCACCAAATAAATCTCAACATGCTCCTTCAATCAGTTATTCCAAACTATTCCTAATAAACCCAAGATCCAGGGGGGTTAAAAAGGCGGTTTCTATCCACATAAGCCCATTTTTCGAAGATTGAGATTGCAAACGCAACTCAACGAGATAATTATAAAAAAATAATAATAAAATAATAACAAAAAAGAAGTCTAAGGATGCGATGAGTACATCCTGGCAATGATTCAATCAACGCCCACATCATTCAATTGAGTCCTATATCCTCCTGCACCCAAGCACTCATTGACTGGAATTGTGGAACACATGCCACGAAGTTCCACCGACCAAGAATATCCCCGAGGCCAGTCGGCGGTGTTGCAACTCGGACAAAAATGCTATCTTTGAACAAGGTCGGTGGAATGAATAATTGTTCAAACCTTGTCTTATCTGATAAATAAGGTAAGTATAAAAAATCACAATGTACAACAGCAACGTAAATGACGATATACGTAATTTAAGTGACCTACCCTTTTTGGTCCTTCAAAATGTTTGTTGCAGAAAGGAATATATCACGCTTATCACTCTCACTAATATTCCACTCGTGTGAGAATGCATCCATGCGCTTGAAAATAGGCACAATCAGTTCCGTGACTTTTCCAGCTACGGCAAGCTTGAGAACTCTCTTAAAGATCAAAAACCGACCGTAAGGGTTCTCTAGCACATTATACAAGTGAAATAAGCTGCAAGCCCCACCGAGCTTGTTCAACCCTTGTTCTGATAAATCAAGGTGCTATCTTATCTGATAAATCAGGTAAGTCGGCACACAGTACCTCAAGGTGATATTTGAGTAGTCTCTAGTCTCGTCATTCACCACTATGGGCCTGCAGATGAGGTCCACCGATGCAGAATATCACTAAAGCTGTTTCTTGAGTAGCCATGGCAGCTCCCAATCAAATTTTCTTGTTTGTTGTGGGGTAGGACGTCGCCTGCTTCAGTAAGATCCATGGCCACAAAAGAGAAAAATGCTAATCTGCGTTATCCCAGATTGGATGTGGTATCCTTTAATGGAAATCGCAATCTATTTCAGCTTGTGCCGTACTACCTACTCCCAATTCAAGGACCTGCAAATTCTATAGGAGTTGGACAATGTCGCCAGCTTTGTAGCTACTCACGATTTGGTCCAACGATGCCGATTGATCCACTTCTACAGTGTCGGGCACATGGTGATGATAAAGAATCATAGTCCCTTGTCTTGCAACAAGTGTAATCTGTCCACACAAGCTGCTTCCAAACTGGATAGCATATTCAGGAGCCCTTAAAAAGGAAGGAAAGTCTCATTCCGCAGGACAGCTTGAGTCTCTGCCTTGATTCAACTCGGCATCGTGACGAGAACGTGATCCTCGCCTGTCACCAAGAGTCCTTATTGGATGCGGGCATTCTCGTGCATGAATTCCGTGTTGGAAAGTCTTCCACTGAATCTTAAAATATTCCAACTTATCAACTCTCGTGAAGCCCGGTTGCTGGTTGTCACTTAACATGCACATCTCATATAAAAGTCGCTTAAGTCAAGCAGCATCGATGTTAGTACAGCAGTGCACTAATTCGTTGAGATTGAATCAAGGTGAGGTGATTTGAAATTCCCAGCTTGGATCGTTGGGTTAAAACTGATTAGAGAGGTTGATAAGCTGATCAAACGAGGCCATCCTTAGCCCATTTGCAATGTATCTCGATCGATGTAAGTAAATCCAAGTTTTTGTGAAATCAAGCACATGTGACATCTCCGATTCATGAAGAAACCTTCATGACGCTTATTGCTGGAGGTAAGACTATCCAAATTGTTCAAGTTTCTCCGAAGAGGCTGATACAGCAACAAACATCTAGGTACCTGACCTCGACAACACTTGCATGTGAAAAAGTTTGAGATTCTAGCTTCATAGATTGCTTTCCCTCCTAAGCGAAAGCAGTCACCAAACTGAACGTAATTGCGATTTGGTTCCTCATAGCCGACACAGCTAGGTACAGGTGGCTTGTGAGCATGATCTACTACAAATCGGTCATGAACGTCCTGTTGCAGCTTTGATAATTGTGAGTGCTGCAGGCTGTAGTCCGCCCATAAAGCCCATAAAAAGTCAGCCTTCAAAGCGCGAAAATAATTTCAGGAGTATCTTCTAAAGACAAAGATACGAGGCGCTAGCTTTAAGGTTTATTTCCAACAATTTTAAGTCTGAGGTACCACACCTGATAGAAACCCCTGCTCATTTTCTTGAGAACGTGCAAGAACCGGATTAGACCTCTTAGAATCTTGGGGCTTCTATTCGAATTGAATTATCAATCTTCGTGCTTAGCAACAGAGCGATGAAAGTTTGGATAACTCGCTTCACATATGGAAGCAATCACAAGAGGGTTAATTTGAAATAATATCGTCAAATGGAAAATGTGTTGCCGCCTCTGTTCTTGGGAGGACTCTTCGAATGACACCATTCTCTGTACGTCAACATGAATTACATTGGCAAACTTACAAAGAACAGAATCCTCGACATATCGTGTCACAGAACTCATGAACTCTACTGATTACCAACTTATTTTTTCGACACGTTGTCATTGCAGTCTTCAAATGGAGGGGAGTAGACATGAGCAGCAAAAACAGAGTCTTTCAGATCTTATACCAGTAATTGACCTTGCAGCACTAAATGGCGATCATATCGACGAATTTGAACGCAGGCGCATTATAACTGAGATAGCTCATGCATGCAAAACATGGGGCGCTTTCCAGCTGGTCAACCATGGTATTCAACCGCATGTGATTGAAAGGGCCAGAGCTAAAGCGTGCGGGGTGTTTGAATTGCCAAATGAAACACGGTGGAAGGCCAAACGATCACCAGGCAGCTTGTCTGGATATGGAAACGGCGCTGTCATCGCAGACGCAGTCAACAATGAAATTGCATCCGAAGCCATAACCTTCGGGTACCCAAATTCTGAGGCTGACGTAATTGCTAGCATATTCTGGCCTCGCGGAAACCCAGGTTTTAGGTAAGTAGCAATCAGACCCACAACCTCAATGGCACGATAGAGCGTCCCTGGTTCTTTACACTCTAACGAAAAATCTGCTTCTTTCATCTTTCATTAACCTGCACTGTGTGATCATGTTCTTACACTAAAACAAAATGTTCGCTGGCCGCGTACATGATCTTCAATAAGCACCTTCGAATAAGGTCAATACAGGTAGACTGACATTTGCCAGTGTTGCGTTCAAACTCCAGTGCGAGCATAGATGATTATAATGAGGAGTCGCATGAGCTGGCCTTGAAGGTCGTGAGACTCATGGTAGAAGGCCTGGAACTCCACGGAAACTTAGCACACTTTCAACCCTACTTGACAGAACATTTTGGAGTGTTGAGAATCAACAACTACCCAGCTAGCGAACACCCAACCCGAGACATCGGACTTCCACCGCACATTGATGATACCCTACTAACCATAGTGCACCAAGGATGTGAAGTTGAAGGACTTCAAGTTAAAAAAGATGGCCAGTGGGTTACTGTGCCACCACGAGGCGACGTCATGGTTGTCCTCGTGGCTGCCGTATGCCAGGTACATTCGAACTCCTATAGGCTCCTTTAACATCAGTTTTTTCGAAATGCCTCTAATTAATTCTAAGAAAAAACTTGGTGATGCACAAGCCACGAGAAACAGAAATGATTTTGGTAATCGCAAAGTCGAAAAATGCATACCTGTTCTAACTTCATCCTTCGAACCGAACTCGAGCTTGACGACTGATTTTATGATTTGCAGGTGATCACAAATGACAACTATAAAGCTGTCCTACATCGAGCAGTGCCGAATCGAGACAAAGCCCGGCTCTCCATGGTGTATTCGGCCTATCCTCCGGCGAATATCTTTATTACCGCTGCTCCAGAGTTTGTGAGCCCTGCACACCCTCCCCTGTACAAACCATTCACATGGTCAGAGTACCTATCTGGTCAAGTTACCCACATCCTTAACCCTATTGATGGCTTACAAACAGTTGAGAGGGAAGGAGAAACTCAAAATCAAACCTCAGAATCCTCAGAGAGCAGTAGTAAACTTGATTAAAACAAAGGGAGTGAAATTCAAAGTTCCCAACTCAGAAGCATTATCAACATATTTTGTTGACTTCACGAAAGATGGTCAATTTTGCGTCGTAAGTGATTGCTGTAGTCAGCAACTGTAATCTGAGTATCACACAATGCAGAACTCATGCGAAACCTTGGCTTCTAGATGAAACATTCTTGAATTTAAATGTCCAAAATCTTGATTCACCTGATTTGGAATACAAATGAAAACATTTTGAAATTCCTCAAACTTCCACTGCGGTTTGAAATGAGGTACAAACTCAAGTAGTAAGCTGCCGTCAGAGGTGCCTGTTGCAAAGCAGATCAAATGCTCTAAACAGTGACAAGCCCACCTGCTGAGCTCTCAAGTAGAGAAAGTCAATGCCGTCCATAAGCATTCTATGTTGTTCTTCATTACTGCGAGAATCATTACAAAAGATTCTAAGGCAGTCCTCATGCACGCAAATAGTGACAAGTAGAGGGAAGAAGTGAAGGCCAATACGAACAACAAATTCAACTGGATCTCTCAGCAAACATGATCTAGTGACACGAAGGCACAAAAATTCGAGATCAAAAATCCTTGAAAATGTAGAAAGGCGTGCACAAGATATCCCACAAAACACGCCAATCCTTAAAGAAGAAGATCCTCAAATCCAGCGAGTGAATCGTAAGTAAACGCGTTATGCATAGGAGGACCAAACAACGCATGCTTGGATCAAATTTTGAGTGTAAATGCATGCAAAAGTTGCCTAATCGTCAAATTCTTTTCAGGATTCGTTTACAAAACACTCGAGCTGCAATAAGTCTACTTCTATACAATACGCTCCAACTCCCTAGCATAACCTAGAGTTTGATTGATTAGCTGAAGAGAAGGAATCTCTTTGCATGGTGCAAGTTTCTTGGCTCTTTGAAAATACACCCTGGTGCCGCGAATCTCCCAATCCGGATGATCCTGAATAATGTTCGGACCCAAAACATTATCAGTTGCAAATAAGCAACCCCTTGGTCCCATGAAATTGAGAACGCATGAAGGACTTCAACAGAATCCGTAACACAAACTAAGAACATGCAAGATATGGAAATGTGTTACGTAGAAATGTTAGAAAGATGTGAGACAAGCACTTGTAGAAATACTTACATCCAGAACGTATGCCAGCAACTCTTGATCGGACGCAAACATCAGTATCTTCTTGGCCTCCACTAATGACAACGAATCGTACGCCTTCTCACTACAACCTGCGATTTCATCTCTGTGCACAATGAAATGAGTAATTATTGAGTACATCATTACCATGATCTTTGCAACAGTAAGAGCATCCTTGCAAAAACGCAGTTTCTAGTCAATCCACCGAGAAAGTCATTCATAATTCCTTGGTGTATCATACCTGACAGTCTTGGCAAGAAGGTCCATAAAGTACACATAAGTTTCATGTGGAACAGCTTGACGGGCACTTAGAACACGGTTGTAGGCGCCCTCCATGAACGACTGCTCTAGCTCCACAGCATGCTTTATGCATGAATGATCATGAGCTGCAGGTGGTAGAAGCTCTAGCTCTGCAAACCCATTCACACGCATCTCAATAGCCAGATACAGGCAAAAAGATACAGAAGGACATCTACTGGCTTCATGGTTGGTTCGAGCAGCTGTAACAAAAAGAGCTCACTGCATACTCCATCTTCGAAAAAGTAACTGCAATAGAACATGTTCAATGCAGGAAAGAAAACATAGTTTAGAATTTAGTCATTTCGAACGCAGTATACTAGTGCAAAGTGGCCTTTACAGTTTGAAAAAGAAAAGAAAAGTGTGTAACCTGTATGAAATTCCGCAATTCTGTTCTGAACTAACAGCCGCAGCAAGTTGAGACCTAAAATGGGATACTCTTGTCCGGACGGAGGAATCACCCCCCTGCAATCGAAGAACTGATTAGCTAAAAACATGACCAAACTCAAACAGATATGTGAATTTCAGTTCTCAGACGAATATGTAATACATAAAGAATTTATATGAAACTTACCAGGAGTATTGATATTCGTACAGACTAAACAGGATAAATTATGAGCAATGGGCTTTTGCATCATCTTTAAAGAAACAAATAGACCACCGACAAAAAAAATCATCAAATGAATATGTGGTCAAAGTACGATACGTAAAGACGAGATCCTAAGAGCAAATTTGAAGATAAGAATACTGACAATTACAAACTTCGTCCTTCAGGAAAATCTAAAACTCTTACCGTGGGCTGTTAATCCTACAATTATCAGAATAAAAGAGTAAAAGCATACCTAGTATCGGTGTAGTATGACTTGAGTTGAAGAAAATGGCGCTCAAATGCATCCTGATCCTCCATTTTCACACTCAAAACTACAGCATGTTCCAAAATATCCCCTACAAACAATATGGACTCTCTGTAAGTTAGAAAACGAGTTAACAAAGAGAGGTCATGGAGACTCCACACGAATGATTACACGTCATTTGAAGAACATGTATGAACCATGAAGTTTTGAATCGAGGCATTGTACGGCTGAACTAAATGATATACACTGCACACTGTTGAAATCCAAATTGAGCTGAATTAGGTTTAAAAGCGTGTAAACGGAAATAATCCACAATAAATTGAATTGGATAAAGCAACCACCGATAATGTACATGCAAACAAACTTAATGTAGCAGCAGCAATAGCTACACATACTTGCGAGAAGAAGCTCTTGTATGGATGATGGAGACGATTTAAACAGGGGTGGAAGACTAGGCAACTCAGTCAGCTTCACCTGCAACACTCAGATACCGCTGACATAAATCACCGTGCAATTCCAACTTTACTTGTTCCAACCTCTTCTTCTTCAAAATCCGAGTCAGGTCAGCCCTCTTTTCCAAACACGCATCAACAATTCCTGCCTTCCTCCAGCACCATCCAAACACACAACCTCAAAACCCTAACCCGCACCACCAAAACCTAACACATTTCAAATCGTTCGCCAATTGAGCAGCAACCGAGTATGCAATAGAACCTTGAGCTGAGAAAGGATGTTGTCGCTGGTTTCCGTATCATTTTTGTCGTAGGCGGCCTTGAACTTCTGAAACAACCGGGTAATGTCCGCAAGCTTTCCCTCCATTTGGAAGCGCGAGAAACCTGACAAAATGGCTCAAACTACAGGATAAAGAACACACTTCCGATCCCGAGTTCGGAAATCACAAAAAGAGAGATAGTCGTGGAATCGATGAACCACAAGGTCGAAGAACAACAATCAACTGATCAGAAGACAGGAGAAGAATTGTTCGGAAGCAATTCGACCCCGAAGCTTCCACACTGGGCTCGCCGTTCCAAGCCCACACTGAATTATCTGGTCTGCCATGTCAGCATTCCATGTCAGCTGATTACCACGTACGCAAAAAAAATTGAGTCAGCTTTGGTCAGATGTGGTGACGTGTATTGATGACGTCGGTTCCGTAGACTTTTTCTTCCTCAGAAGAACTCAACTTTTAAAGTACTTTCACGATGATAAGTTAGCCTTTTGCCTCTGCGATTATTTTGGGAGCAGGATGATAAGTTAGACTTTTTCATGTGAGGAAAAAAAAAACAATTGCCCAAAGAAAATCAATTGTCCCCCAAAGAGACATCATGAACAAGAGACTAAAAATACTCATTTGTCCTTGGAAAAAGTATGAAAATCCATTGTTTCTTACACAATTTCTAAGAAATTATTTTATTCAACGAGATACAAAAATACATATCTTAAAGTACTAATTTTAATTTTGTATTTTCATGATGTGTTTCGTTTGATTTAGTATCAACTTGCAATATTTTCTTCAATCTTTATTTGATTTAAATTATGTATAATAATTGTAAAGAATAAATAAAAAAAACAAAACAATACCTCCGAATTATAATAATATGAATTAAAAATAAAAATAAAAATAAAACTTCAATTCATCATGATTTGATATATTCTTAAATACGAAATTTATCTGTCACTTTACATTGGGTAAAACGTGAAAATGTGGTATTTTTTGTATTATTCTATGAAAATAGTTATTTAATCAAAAAAATAAGTTTTACAAAAGTAACTCTTATATATATATATATATATATATATTTGTGTGTGTATGTGTAGACTAAATGATTTACTTCCTAAAAAAAATAAACATTTAACACACATTTGAATTGAAATTTAAAAATAACACCATCCTTAACTTCAAATCTGTGTTGCTAATTTCAAATTCTTTCAAGTCATACACATACTAATTTTACAACTTTAATGCTTGTATTGATTTTGTTAGTTATATTTAAAGAGAAAAAGAAATAAATTGTGTACTATTTAGATAAAACAAAAAGTGAAAGATCAAAGTATGGTATCACAAATTCAAAAAATGTCTCTCTCTCCCTATATATATATGTATATATATATATATATATATATATCATCATCATCATCATCATCATTAGACAAATATGGAACAATCATTATTTATTTGATATTTAAACTACATTTATTGTTGTTACAAATGCAGATTGTATGCTCAAAGAATTCATTTTTTTCTTTTGACAAGATATATTTTAAAAAAATATATCTTGTTGAAAAACATGTTTCTCATAACAACCAAAATCTTCTAATAGTATAATTTATTCAGTGTACATACAAATTTCACTTCAGTCTTAAAAAGTATTGTAAATCAATAAAGAGTGTTTGGAGAATTTAAATGCTTGATTTGAATTTGAATACAATGTTATGTTAGTTCAAATTACAATTCCTTTATTAAATTATGCTTTTATGATTAAATTCAAGTCTTTCCCATAAAATTTTCGGATTAGATCTTTTAATACTGATAATTCGTTAAAAAATCAAATACCAGCTGTAATAGAATGTGATTTTACGCTATCAATTTATTCTGGTTTTTGTTACAAACTAGTCTGAAAAATGCAAATTGATTACAAGAAATGGATGTCGATTACTGTCTATTTTAAAACACAATATCATACATGTTAAAATGCATATTGCAACACAAAATCATCAAAGAAAAATTATTCCAAATCTATTTTATTTTGATTTTTAAACTTTTCATTTGTCTTCTAGATTTAAATATCACTTTAGAATAGAAATTCCACAATTATGTAAAATCTTCAGGAAATCCAAGTCACACAAATAAAATTTCAATTGCTCAAAAAGTTTAAGGAGTTGTACTATTTTGAAAAAAAGTAAAAAAAGATTCTACACATTATATTTATACATAGGGAATTGTTAAATTGACCTGTGCATTTACTAAATCAACCCACCCATTTTTTCATTGGTTTTCTACCAAACACAAATCCAAAAATGAAGAATTATTGGATGATGGTTAGGATGAGTGGGTCAATTCAATAAATGCCTGGGTTAATTTAACAATTCCCTCTCTCTCTCTCTCTCTCTCTCTCTCTCTATATATATATATATATATATTGATCCTTCAACCCTAAAATATAAAGAATCAAGCTTTCATCGACACCCAAAGGCAGTAAAGTCACAGAAACTTGAAATGGTGACTTCCTAAGCGCCAGGAAAGGAGGCAGAAAGTTACGAACCAGGAGAAAAAGGCACTACCACAATCACAACTTCGAGAGGTGCAGCCAGAGACGAAGCAACGAGGAAAAGCCACAGGAGGACAACAAATAAGAGTAGCAGGTGTGAACAGAACCAGGGAGAGGGAGAGGGAGATGTCAACTTCCAGGAAGTTTACCTTCAAAAATGTGGTTGCAATCGGGAATACCGCATTTGTCAGGGAGGCACCGTTCCTCACGTCGAAAGGCCAACTGGACAGACATCGATGGCCCAAATGTACCACCCAGGGTTGTATCCAAACCGTCCGATCAGGGCAAGGGGTCGGCGGGGGGATTCGAACCCGCGCGTGGGGTGGTGGGGCAGGCGGCGCCACGTGACCAGGAAATCGCTTTCAACGTAAATGTTTGAAATGGCCTCGTTTGAAGGGGTTTGAACCGTTCAGCGGAGGGGAGCACCCTCCTCGTAAGCCCAAATTTGGACTTGGAGTAACCCCTTTCACACCGCGCGGGGTCGGGAGCGAGGCAGTGTTGGTTGCCCTCCTTCGTTCGTTCGTTTCTTCGTTCGTCCGTTCCCTTTGAGTGAGGCTGCTGCCCCTGGTTCGGGCGGGGCCCTGCTATTCTTCGTCGTCGTCGTCGTCGTGTGCCCCATTCCTTGTGTGCCCAGTCTTCATTTGCCTCCCATAGTGCCGTGTTTGCCCAACGTCTGCTGACACCGCCCCCTCGCAATACTACTACGGCGCTATCTTTCTCGCTTTCTCTTTGTCTGTTTCTCTTACTGAGTGACCCCTTCCTCTTATTGATCTTGTCTTGGCTCTTTACTCTTGGTTAACGCCACCGCTACCGTATTTGTTCTCGCCGTGTTTGCGAGCAGCGCTGTGTGTGATTCAGGTTGTTATTTCGACTTGGAGCTTGGAATTATTTTGGTGTTCTCTCGCCGCCTTCGCCGACCTCGCAGGTGAGTGTCTTCGACCCCCCCCCCCTTTTTTTTTTAATAGTTTCTTCCTATTTTCGTTCCAGGTGTTTTGATGTAAGAAGCGTGAGTTTTGGTTTTTTCGAGGGTATGTTTGATTAGAGGCGGTAGGCGTGGAAGTAGAACGGTGGTCTCTCGTTGGATACCGATTCCAGGCGGAGGGGTTCTTTTGCTTGCTGAGTTTTTGTGTTCCTCACATGTGGTTGCTTGTTTTTGGAAGTGCCTATTTGCTGGATGAGAAGAATAGATTTGTTTGTGTTCATAGTGAGAGAACTTCAGTTTTCCTTGGTTTCCTCTATTATTTGCATTCATCTAATTCATCTAATCGTTGTGGCTCTTTACAGATTGTTAGATTATAGCAAACCAGTGAATTTGGAAGTCAAGACCTCCAATACTAGAGTTTAGGCGAAGACCTTAAATTTTGAATATAAAGTGAACCTAGTCTTGAGAGCCCTTGTAGATCTCTGAAGTCGGAGACTCTCATGAACGGTGAAAATGCCCGTGGCCATTGACATGGGAATTTTAGACCCTAACCTCTTGCAGCTCCCGCAAGACTTACCCTCATCTTCTGGCAATCTAGGTGCTGACAAGCTTCTTGACGATCTCTTCACTCAATGGCTTTCTCTTCCCGAAGCTCAACGCATGGTAACAATAAGTCTAAACCTCCATACCCATTTTTAGCATACAATAATAATATTATATTTACTACAATAATAATCTGCTTACGAAACCGGGAATTTAATGGAGTCCGTTCGTGGGCTTCACCACTCTGCGGTGGGCCAACTAGTAATAGTCTTCCGTTTCAAAGGCGTATGCTCAGCAAATAAACTGCTCCGACTAAAAGCAGAAATTGATTGTATAAAATCAGGGTGTTTGATATCAAGTGTAGAAAATGCCTTCAATAGGTCGAACAGTGGCCTGAAAAATCTGCAGCAGGTTTCCCCGTAGCAGTTTTAACTTCCCAAGTCGTGTGATATATATCGACAAGCTGTACACACAACTTTGGTGGCAGTACGGATCATACTTTCAGGAGTTTCAAATTTTTGCTTTGGTATATAGTGCCGAACTGGTCCCTGTTTGTAGCCTCCTTTACTTTCTGACTGACCTGCCATTTCTGATGGAAATCCCAACATTGATTTAGAAATATCTGCGTGCACGCAGACACACACACAGTATAAAACTGTCCGACGGGCCCGATATTAATATAAGTCGTTCTATGGAGAAAGTAAAACCTCGTGTTTCAGTGGTGGTTCAAGGACGGGATTCGTAGAATGCTTGTTCTGTGTGTAACTGTGACTCGCATTTCTAAAACTTCACTTTGTGCAACCAGGTCATGACTTTGATTCAAGAAGCTCATCCAGAAGCATCATGTGGAGATCAAGGCAGTCGCATTCAAACCTCGCCTTCATCCTTGTCAATAGATCCTCCGACACTTATGCATATTAAGGAGGGGTGTACTCCACCCTTGTCACCTCGCAGCCTTCCGCTTTCACCAAGGTCACAAAGGCGGTTGACTGGACATACCATCTCTACCTCCCCCTTAAGCAATAGTGATCTTATTCGAGAATCAATTCCTCAGGTATCTCACAGGTTGGCCATGGACACCGACATACATCCTTCTTAAACACGAAGTTGATTGTATGGTTCGGGCCACACATTGCTGGATGATGTTGTAGTCTGGGAGAAGTTCTGATGGAGGACCACTGGGAGGCCTCTGAAAGCTAAGAGTACATATGGGTTTTATGAATTAGTGCTGCACATAGGGTTTCCTCGTAGATGTTTGTATTCGATTACTGTTGGATTTGTACAGATGTTTGGGCAGCAACACTCTTACAAAGGAGGGTGTTGACATTAGGCTTCGTAGAGTTTGCTAGAAAGACGGTCATCTGAATTCGTTCTGATAGATTGTTTCGAATGGTGGGTTACTTGATGAGCGCAGTTTTATTTTCCAAAAGGACCACCTACCTCAAAAGAAGCTTACTTTGAATGTTTAGATCGTGTTAATCGAATATTTTCTGGTTATCCCAATGGTCTTCCACTTTCTGGTATGTTTTCATCCTTATCAATTACTCCTTTATGTTTTGATGTAGACAATAACACGGTTTTCTGTGTTACTTGCTTTTTCCAGTTCTGTTTTGTTTCCAGAAGCTTTTGAACTCCTTGATGAAAAAGTTGCTATTGAGTATTTATGGATTTTCTTTTTTGTTATGTCTTTAGCATTCATGCCGGTTACGAAGGAGATTTGCAAGTTACCATCATACTTTTCAAGCGTTTTATTCCAAAAGCTTGATATCAACAGGACTGGGCTAGTTACCAAGTATGCGCTAACCTTTCGTATCTGTAATGACAATGTTGATAGTCATCTTTCAAGTAAATGTTTTTTTGAATGGTGATTTGAGCTTCATAGAGACGGCCGATTTGCATTTATCATTTGAGGTTATCTGAAGTTTATTATTTGCAAGGTGTCTACCTGAATCTTTTTGTTTGTATCGAACCTTGTAAGGCTTTTGGGCTATTGAGTTGCATGTTCCTATTATGATATTTTGCAGTTTTACAAGATATAGCTATAGCATCTTTAGTTTAAGTGCATTATAATCTACATATATTGAGTTTAATTAAGAGAGGTTTACAATCGTTTACCCCATGATATAGGGAAAGGTTAATAAGCGACTGGCTTGATCAAAACATGCTTGTAGCTGATGGCGCGACACGCATCTTTACAGTTCTGAAGCAGCATGATACAGATTATCTAACACAGGTTATTTTCAAAGTTTCCATTGTTTACGCTATGTTGTCGTTTTAGACATTTCACGTCACCTGGGTTTCTTCTAATAATTTTCCTCCCAAGGTGAGGAACTAACGAGTATGATTTGCTGAGCAGGATGATTTTAGGCCCATATTGCGCGAGCTCTTATTAACACATCAAGGTCTGGAGTTTCTGCACGATACACCTGAGTTTCAAGATAGATATGGTACGTGATTCCGTCAAATGATAATATGATTGCTTCTGTTCAGTAGTTTACAAGGTTTTAGATCAGTTATTTGACAAACTTTTTGATTTTGCTCGTAGAATTGTTTTTATCCCTAATCCCTCTCACCCTCCCCCTACCCTACCCAGACCAAACGTTGAGGCAGGTGGGACTAAAATCTTCAATGAAATGTAGTTCTGATGTTTTCCCATCTCTCTTTTGGGATGTGCGGTTGGTGGAATTTTGCAGCTGAAACAGTGATATTTAGAATCTTCTATCACTGTAATAAGGGTGGCAATGGACGATTGCTGCTTAGAGAAATCAAGCGAAGCCATTTATTTGCTACCCTGCAGCAAGTGGATGTTGAAGAAGACATCAACAAAGTGTTGAAGTAAGTTCTCATGTGGTATTTTCAGATGTTGAGATATTTGAATGAGAATCTTTGTTCAGAGAGTCTTAGCTTTGGGGCTTCCTTGTTAGTACACCTAACTGTGTGGATACGTGAACACGTGAATAGTGAGTTTACAGTAGCGAGGGATGAGAGCTTGGATCTTTTTGTCATATTCCAGTTTAGTATGCTAACAAAGACTATAATAATTGACCTTTGGATACATGTGGTGTGCGACGCAGCTATTTTTCATATGAACATTTCTATGTTATTTACTGCAAGTTTTGGGAGTTGGACTCGGATCACGACTTTGTGATTGACAAGGATGACCTATTGCGATACGGTAACCACGCACTCACGTATCGTATCGTGGAGCGTATTTTCTCTCAGGTATGAAGCGCTTATCGTTGCTCTGCTTTCTGAGCTTTGAAAGCACGATATGGAAGCTGAATAGATCTTGGCATAGTGTAATGTTAAATCTTTAGTAACATCAGGGCATATTTAGCTGTATACATGTAGGGAACACATACAATTTCATTCAAGGTATTGGTTTAGATTGCCTGCAGGCAACCTAATGCGCTTGAATTAGTGTTGGGCGTTTTCTTTTGCTTTACCGGACGTTGCCAACGGTAGCACCTTGTGAATGATAGGTTCCAAGGAGGTTTAGAAGCGGCGTTGAAGGAAAGATGGGGTATGAGGACTTCGTTTGGTTTATATTATCAGAAGAGGACAAGTCATCGGAGACCAGCCTCGAGTATTGGTGAGTTCGCCCTCCATTTTATTCTCTCTACTGTCTGTCAGCCGATGTCCCAAAGAAATGGCCATTGTGATTTTTATTTTTCTTAGTCTACGCTAACATTGGATAAGTTGTGGGACCAGGTTTAAGTGTGTGGACCTGGACTGTGATGGTGTAATCACTCCAAATGAAATGCATCATTTCTATGAAGAGCAGGTGCACCGGGTGGAGTGCATGGCGCAGGAGCCTGTTTTGTTTGAGGACATTGTTTGCCAAATGTCTGATATGATTAAACCTAAGGTAAGATGTGTACCTAATTTGATTTGTACACAGTACTGCTCTACTCAGAAAAACTGATAGGAAGGTGGCAGTATGTTTCTTTCTTTCTTTCTTTAATTATTTTTGACGATGAAGCCATGGAGATTAGATGCATATTTTCTTGCTTAATTTGTTACTGCTTTTCCTTCGGGGAATAATATCTTTTGCATCTTTGATTCTGGATTACAGAAGGACGGTCACTTAACACTCCGGGATTTGAAGAACTGCAAACTATCTGGAAACTTTTTCAACATACTCTTTAATCTCAATAAATTCGTGGCATTTGAAACCAGGGATCCGTTTTTGATCAGAATGGTAAAGCAATTCAGACAGCACTATTTCCATCAAATTGAGATTTGCCATATCTCAGCATGTTGCTTCAAATCCATATCACCTACTTTCAAACGCTTCGATTCATCTCCTGATAATTGTTCCCTGGTCATCACATCTGCCTCGTTGACTTACCTATTTGGGTCCTAAAGTTCCGTTCCTTATGGTTGCAGGAAAGGGAAGATCCTACATTGACCGAATGGGACCGATTTGCGCATGCTGAGTACATCCGCCTGGCAATGGAGGAGGACGGTGAGGATGTTTTCATGGATGGCAGTGCTGAAGTCTTGGACGATGCCTTTGAATACTACTAACCAGCTGAAGTATGTTCTTTTCCATTTTTTGTAGCTGGGGAGACCAAGGTTCTTACATCCTATAATGTCGTCGTGCTTGTCATTGTGCAAGCCAGGTGTCTATTGATCGAAATACTGGGTGATAAGCACCAACTTGACATGCCACTGCACTGAGAGTTCATGATGTGCACTCCAGTCTTCTTCTCAGGGCTGCAGTCGAGCGGAATTTTCCGAAGCAGAAGCCCTACTTGTACAGGATTCCCACTTTTCTTTTTTGTGTCCATGGATTGGTCACTCTAGTGAGGATTCAAATACGAGATTAGCTTAAGTTGAAATAGGATCCAACAAACTTCGTGTTAGTCGTTGGATAACACTTCCATTTTAAATGGGACGATCTGGATGAAATCTATAAACATGGTATTCCTTGTCGATGAATGCGCATCTGAAGTAAAAAACATTGTGGACAGAATTCATAATTCGTGAATAAAATTCACTTTCGATCTAGTTATTGGGAAAGTTTCGGAATATTACTTGTGCCTTAAGTTTTGTACTCAAACATACCCTCCTCTACTTGTAACTTGCTGTAACATGTGCTAACTTGGTCATTTCACTGTTACCATGTAGATATTACTCATTTGCCAGGTAACTTGCACTATCTACACGAAACTATGTGACTATCTGTGGCAGCATGATGACAATTAGTTTTATCCCGCTGATTGTTGGTCACTCAGACAGTCTGCAATTTTTACAAGTCATATGCTCCGACCAAATGTTTAAAAACTATAACCTGTTCAACTCCTGTGAGAATCACCGTATCGATACAGATCGCGCCCCAATAATATATGCAAATAACACCATTCCAAATGTAAACTGAAGTCAGTGTCTCCTCAAAGAAATGGGGAGCCGCTGTTTCTCTTTCATAATTGTAGCAGTCAACGATTTGCCTCCCCCATCACATCTGCAGCTAGCTGACACAGTAGGCAATAAGGCAAGCCACATCCAAATCTTAAACTAGCTCCAACTCTAAAGCTGTATATAATCAACAGTATGTAACCAATAATCCTATTTTCACGAACACCTAACATACCCTAAACTCAGAAGGTAGCCTGCAAAACTAAGCAAAAAATGACACTGTCCCTTCGCCGATGTTGGCTGCTAATCAAAACACCATAAATGGAGCAATCCCGTAACCCGTTACAGATTATTAAATATATACCGAACCTAATGTAAGCATCACGAGTTAAATAAGCCATCTATTGGTAGCGTAAGGTAGAAAATAGATTGGTAAATGAAAACAAGGGCGCATTAAACTAAAACTAATCGTATCTAGAGGCAGGAGGGGCGCCTGCTAGCCAACCCCAAACACCAACCTTACTATCTTTTTGAGATGCTTCATTTGCTGCTCTTTCAGAAACAGCCATCTGTCGATGAAGCAGGTCCAGCTCCTTCTGTAAAGCCTCCATAGAAAGCAACTTCTGTCTCAACTCTGCAATCTCAACTTCAAGACGGAAGGACCTGGATTGCTCGCCTTGCAGCTGACTACGAACCAACAGCAGCTCCTGCTCCACATCGGCCAACGAAGAAAGGGCGGCAGCGTTTTCCACTTTGAGCTTCTCCACCTCAGCTTGTGCAGCCCCAACTGCCATTCGCAACTGCTCGAGTTCATCATTTCGAAAACGCTGTTCAATTTCATCATTTGGGGGAGCTTCTCTTCTAGACGTGGATGGTGAATCTTCTTTCGAGACAACTTTCGCATCTGATTCTTCGTCCAGGGCACTTGACTCAATAATCTCCTCAGAATCAGATGATGAGCCTTCCTCATTGAGTGACGTGGTATTTTGCTCGGTCGCCTCCACTGGAGGCACCTGGTTTACTATTTCTGGTAACAGTGCTGGTCCCAGAATATAAGCGTGTACCTCATTACTGAAATAGCCATTATATCCACCAAATGCCAATAAAGCGTTTTCCGCGACTTCAACACTCAGGCCCTCGCTGGCTGTGGCACTGGTAACCTGAACAACATCCTCAACGGACCACGACAGAGTCGCCATATTTAGGACCAAGGTCTCAGAAATAGCACCTGTATTATCCCCACCTCCAACGACATACCAATTATCCCCATGAGTTGCACCAGCGTGTCCTGCCCTTGGTCTTGGTACTATTCCTTTCGTAGGCACCAGTGCCCACTCCATGGTCTCAAGGTCAAGTGCATGCAGATCATTGTAACAATCAGAATGCGAGCCACCTCCAAATACAAAGATACACGAATCTCTATACGCCGTTGCCACATGATCAGCCCGTGGAGATGGACAGGCTCCAGATGCAATTACCGACTTCCAAGTCATTGTTTCCAAATCTAGAATATTAAGATCATTGAATAATCGCCGTTTCAGATCTTCCCCTCCAAACATGTACAACTGTGTTCCAATTAGAGTCACCGAATGTCCTCCGCGAGAAACAGGTGCTTGACCATAAACGCTCAACTTCGTCCAGGATAAGGAGTGGATGTCAAAAGAATGAACAGTAACAGTCTCGGCGGCAGGTTTAGCGTGGCCTCCAACTACAAGGAGCAGCTCTTTCCACCTTATGAGTCTGTGTCCAGCACATTGAGGAAGCCAGGGCTGAAGAGGATCCTGCTTCGAGGAGAAAGGAGACTGTGGAACTCTGGTGTCCACCTTTGACCAAGTCAATGTTTTCAGATCAAGCACCTGTACGTCGTTCAAGTAGCGGCCATTGTGATTCCCCCCGATTACATAAAGCTTACCTTCCACTACCGCCGCTGAATGTTGATATCGTGCAAGTGGCTTACGACCCGTAACATTTACTGGGACCCATTCTCGGTAGGATGTGATTGCATCGATACCTTCGGCAACTGGCTCATCCATCTCAGGCAATTTGGGTATCTCGCTTTCATTTAGCTCGTTGTTTTCTTCGAGCAATGGCATAACTTCATCTTGTACATGCTTTTCTTTACTAACAACTGAATCCGACGCCTTGGACAGGGTAGGCACGTTTTTCTCCAACAGCAGCTTGGTAAGTTCCTTAGAAGCAGACTCAACGGCCGCTGAGTCTTCTAGAGCCCGTAAATTAAGAGTTCGCTCTTTCGCATACCAGTTAGGGTCTATACCTTCCACAGTCCGAACGAAAAGTCTCATAGCTTCCAAGGAGTTCATATTCCCCAAATGATTCCAACTTGTCCATTTTACATGTTCAACCACATTCCAACCCCAAGGCTTTTTTACTGTACAAGGCCCCAAAGTTGCCTGCTTGTAGAGCGCAAATAGGATAAGCCGAGTTTCATCTGGTAAAACCTCTGATAAACGCTGCGTGGAACTGAAAGGAGGGTACCAACGTACACAAACATTAGTAAGAGGATTCAAACCTACGAAGTAAGAAACTATACCCTGTTCAGAGGCGCGGGTATTGCTAATCGGTTCTCAAAACATTTGGACTAGGAACATTATCCATTCCAACCTCACAGATGCATCTACGACAGCATCTCAAGTATGCACTGCAATAAGTAGGGAGTAATCTGTGAATTCATGAAAGTAAACTAACTGGCAATAAAATTCGAAATTAAATTAGACAATCGAAAACGTTCTAGAAACAGAATTATCAGCATCTCTTTCGATTCAGTGTGATTTAGCTCCAGGAATTTTAAAAAAAAACGTCGATGAATAAAGCGAAAATAAATCCGAAAATGTTTTTTTTCAATAAAACTGCGTTCCTTCATTTAAAAGACTAATAATTCGAACGGCTCACAGTTCAGTAATTCTGGAATAATGCTAGAAAACACACATTCTGTCCAGATATGAATCTGAACGGCTCGTCCATCAGCAATTTAAAGTACGGATCTGCCAACGAAGCCCAGGAATCCCAATCTTAAGTCCGTAACTTAACACCCCTTCAACACCGCAACCTGACAAAAATTGCTCACGAAAAATCATCACGAAAGTAGACAATTATGAAGAAACCATTTCAGCGCTCACCAACTTAAGTCAGGCTCTGTTTTACTCGACAGTTGTAGCAATATCAAGCTTTCCAGATGCACGTACATTAACCAACGGTTGTTCACGAGTGAGAGCGCAGGAAAATGTGCTTACCAAGTGTACTCAAGCACAATTCACAGCTACGAAACGCCGGCGAACATGAAAACAATGCATCATGCTGTAAACAAACTCACCAGCAATATACCGACCAAAACCAGAAAATCTAAATTAGAAATATATATATTTAAAAAAAAAACGGCATTCATAAAAATTAATCCCCGCACAGCTCCGATATCGCACCAGCATTGCACCCCCACATTCATTCAGCAAAGAGTGAGCCAGTTCGGAGGGAGACCTTACAGCGAGCGGCTGGAAGTGGAAGAGGGAGACGACGGTGAAGAGGAAGAAGAAAATCCTGCGAACTCCGCTGCAGCGTGGAAACGATCTGGATACGGTAGCTGCGCCATGGGCAACGTGTCCATGGCCGAAGCTAGGCAGGCTCCGCTGGTTCAATTCCTCCCTCCCTCCTCTTTCTGCTGCTGCAGCTGCTGCTATTGCTCCCCTCGTGCCATGCCATCGCCATAGCCACGATTAGGGCTTCTCTATTGGAAGGGATGAAGTTCCCGCGTTCCCTTCGCGAGTTCCCTCCATTCACGTACTTTATGCCACTCCTAGGCTGCAGGTTGTCACGTTCCCATGACGTGGTCCGGCGCCAGAACATAATTAAATTAAAGTGCCCGCGTGGCAGTATCTTTTTTGCCACGATGGCACGTTGCCCTTCAGGAGGGAGGGTGTGAGTGAATGCTTGGTAATCTGGAGCCTCGCCCTTCATTTGCCTTGCATTTTCTTACATGGGGTTCTCAGTGGCGTTCACTCCAGGACATAAACTCTCTTTATAAGAGATTTATTGCTAGAGGGAAATGAAAATGAACATGAAAATGACCCATTTTCAAGCTCAGTATCCTTCATTAAATTAGTTTAAAATAACTTTTAAAAATAACGATAACATATACATATATGCAAATAGGGAGTTACGGAGTTGCTAAAGCAACACTCCCATGTTGTTAATGCAACACCCCCTTGGGTTCTTGTGATTAATTTAGTCCATCCCTCATCCTCAATCTTTGGCCCTCCATCTTTGTTTCATGTCTCTAGGCCCCCGTTCCCAACCCATGTTCCTTGTCTCAACTCCTTGTTCATGTTCCTTATCATTGTAAATAGAAACATTAACCTTGAATAAAGTTGTTTTTTGTAAAATTGTTTTGTGACTAAAACATTGCTAATGTTGAATTCTAAACTTTTAATTGCAATTAAGAAATATTACATCTTATTTTAATGCAAAGATTGTTGCATTACTTGATTGTGTTCTCTGTACAAATTGTGGAGGTCTTTTGAAATAGACATCATGTATAAAATCCATGGTTGAAGGCTTCAAGGTTGATTTCTTGAGTAAGAAACATGAATTGCTTTGAAAGTTGTATATCATTTTCTAAAAAATGGAAACATAACAAGGGACAGGCATTAGGAACAAGAATGGAGGGGGGGGGGGGGTGTGTGTGTGAGTTGGGACAAGACTAGGGATAGACTGAAATCATCATGAGAACCTAAGAAGATGTCATGATAATTATTGAGATCATTAAATGTAGTCGGCGCTCTCCATAATATTTACTGTAGATTATAGTAATTACTGTAGCTATAGTATTTAGAGTCTAGTAAAGAAGTACTATTAATCCTCTCACTTTTCTCTTCTTGTATACGAGACACAACCAGATCAATAGATTTGTGTGTGTGAAGCTCTCTCTCCTTAGAAACCCTCTTATGTATATGACTTACTACTACTCTTATGTGTGTGTATGACTTACTATTACTCTTGTGTCTTTCTAAACATTCTCAATACGTTATCAACACGACTCTATTCTACACACTATCATAATTTTTTGCTCTAGTCTTTGACTCTTCAAACCTGTTGCTACCCTTTCTCAGTGTCTGCCTCATGATCTTGTTCTTCTTAGTGGCCCTTCCCACATTAGCTTGCTTAGAGCACTTGTTCCACTCTTTGCCCTGCTTGCTTAGAATACTTGATCCAGTCCAATTCTACCCAGCTTGTTCCCTGCTCCCTGTTGCCGCCAAATAGCCACCAAACCTACCACTGCCACCCTGTCGCCATTGACGTTGCCGCCAAATAGCCCCCAAACCTACCACTGCCACCCTGTCGCCATTGACGTTGTCGCCCGCCTTTGCCTGCCATTGACCGTCACCACCCGTCATTGCCAACTTGCTGCCCTGCTGTTCTGCTGCCTTATTGCTGTTCTGCTGCCTTAATCTATAATCTCTTTAAAATATATATATATATATATATATATATATTTCAAGTTCAAGTTTATCATTTTATTTGACTTTATATTTTAAGGTACGTTTTATTCAATTTTTCTACTTGATCTTGTATTTTCTTTATAGATTTATTTATAATGAGTGCTTCAACATCTTCAATTGCTTCTACTATGGTTCCAACTATTACTAGTGCATCCCAACATTTTCAAGCTCTTTTATTTCCACCATTGACTGTGGATGGAAACAATTATCTATTATGGGAAAAAATGGCAAAAACAAATTTATTTGTAAAACAACTCTCGAATGCCATTATATTTGAAGAATCTCCTACAACAAGTATTTTTATATCTCCCACTATTCGTTGGAAAGCACTTCTTCTCCTTCATTGTCATCTTGTACCTGCATTACAATATCAATATTTGAAAATAGAAGATCCTGTAAAACTTTGGAAGAATCTTAAATCTAGGTTTGATCATCAAAAGGCCATTTTTCTTCCATGTGCATGTCATAATTGGACACATTTACGTATCTTGAATTTTCTAAATTTAAATGCTTTCAATAGTGAAATGTATAGTATTGTCTCACAATTACGATTGTATGGACAAAGCATTTCTGAAGAAGAAATGATTGAGAAAACTCTCTCTACATTTCTTCATGTATCTGCTGTACTTGCACAACAATACAAGAACATGAAATTTTAGAGTTATTCTGATCTCATGTCCTATCTACTTCTTGTGGAGAAGCAAAATGAGCTACTCTTGCAGAATGCGAAAGCTGGTCCTATTGGAACTACACTTCTAGAATCTCATGCATTTAATATTTTAAAGTCTAAGAAGAAATTATATAAACATGGGAAACATGCTCATAAATATCAGGGTAGTCATAGTCAAGACCAGTTCTACCCATATGGAAAGAATAAACGTTCTACTATTAATTATAATAGAAAACAAAAATCAAAGATGCATTCTTCCCATAAGTGCGGAATGATTGGACATTTAGCACATGCATGCCATACTTCAGAATATTTTATAAAAATGTTCCAAGAAAATAAGAAATTACGAGATGAGGCTCGTGAAGTTCATACCATAGATGCGTCCATGGATTCAATTGGTGTTGATGACTTAGAGGCTTATATGAATGATAGAACCTCTAATGATGAATCAAATGATGGGCTCATTGATTTTGCAACAACATATACTATCTTACAAGATAGACGATTTTTTATTGAAAAACCTTCAACTTGGCAAACTAAAAATATGATGACCATGGCTGGAACAAATGCGTTTTGTTTCTAAGAGGGCACAATAATGGTAAAATTACCTGTGGCTTCCATCATAAAATATAAACATGCGATGTTTGCACCTTTAGCACCTCAGAGTCTGATCAGCTACCGAGATGTGTGTATTAATGGTTATCACCTCTCGACCGCCACTTTAAATAGAAAAGAGGTTTTGATTCTTGCGAAGAACCATAAAGTTGTTGAAAAAGCTTTTGCTATAGAAAATGGTTTATATTGAATTGTGATTTGGCCTCCCATTATATTTAATTTTGCATCATTTATCTCAAAGAGTCGTGTTTTTCTTTGGCATGGACAATTGGCACATCCATGATCCACATTATTTAGAAAGATCATTCCATGTCTAACTAGGCACAATTTAAAGCCTACAGATGTAGAGTCTATGGAATTATGTCCTGCATGCGTTCAAGGTAAAATGATTACTCGGCCTTCAATTTGGAAACTTCTACAAGAATTACCACCAATGCTTGAAAGATTGCATGGTGATATTTGTGGTCCTATTAATCTAATATCAGGACCATTTCATTATTTTTTGGTCCTTGTTAATGCATCAGGTAAACAATCACATGTTTCATTATTATCAACTCGAAACATGGTGTTTGCCAATCTTATATCTATGCTTATTTACTTTCAGGCACATTTTCCTGATTATTCTATAAAAATATTGCGTATGGATAATGCAAAAGAATTTGCATCAAAGTCTTTTGAAGATTATTGTACTGCAACAAGAATCGAGTTGACAAATTGTGTTCCATATGAACATGCTCAAAATGGACTTGCAGAGTCATTTATAAAGCATATACAACTCATTATTCGGCTACTCCTCCTTCACGCAAATCTACTTGCAACTATGTGGGATCATGCAGTTTTACATGCTGCAGCATTAATACGCCTCTGCCCTTCTTCTCTTGAAATTGTTTCACCACATGAGCTCATTTCGGGTCGTATTCCAAATGTATCTCACTTACGAGTATTTGGTTGTCGTACTTGGATTCCAGTACCAGAACCTCAACAGCGTACCATTGGAGCTCATCGACAAGAAGGCATATATGTTGGTTTTGATTCATCTAGCATTATTCGTATTGTTGATCCATCAACTAGCACATTATTACGTGCATGTTTGCAAAATAGCCGTTTTGAAGAAAATGTATTCCTATTTCTTCAATGATGAGTATCCAATCAACAAAGAAATAAAGTACTCATATTTGAAGCACCAGAAACGTTTACAATGAATCCCGTTCCTAAAACATCTTTGGCAGAAACTGAAGTTGCTAAGATTTTACATTTAAAACGGAACGCCGATGAAACACCTAATGGCTTCAATGATGCACCTAGAATTACAAGAGTTCCTATTAATGAGGCTCAGAATGCACCTGCTCAGATTGCAGTGCCATTGACTACAATACCTCAAGTTATAACAACAACAACTAAAAGAACTCGTGGACCAGATAAGTAACAACGTAAGAAGAAAGCTATAAAATTAACTAATCCTGGTATTATTTCTCAAGAAATTGCCACTCATCTTGTAGGACTATCAATTCATGATGATATATCTATGCATAATGTACCTTCAATTCCTATGAAAAATAATCTTGGAATTAGAAGAAATAAGAACAAGTTGAGTAAAGAATTATCTATTCTGTATTGTGCTATAGATGATATTTGGGACAGACCATCTATTACGGTAGATGAATCATTTGCATATATGATTATAGAAGCCCTTTCTTGCGAGGAAGATGATCTTGAACCTCAAACCATCGAAGAGGCGATGCATCGCTGAGATTGGTCAAAATAGAAAAATGCTATTGAGGAAGAGTATGCCTCTTTGCGTAAGAGAAAAGTCTTTGGTCCAATTGTAGAAACTCTTACATCTTACCCTGTGGGATATAAAATGGTATTAATATGCAAGCGAGATGCTCAAGGCCAAATAACCCGCTATAAAGCTCATCTTGTTGCTCAAGGATTTAGTCAACGATTTGGCATTGATTATGAATTCATATATTTTCCAATCATGGATTCAATTATATTTCGATATATTATTGGAATGATAGTTCATGCCACCCTTGAGATGCATCTAATGGATGTAGTAACTGCATATCTATATGGTTCTCTTGATGCAAATATTTATATGAAAGTTCCACCTAGCTTAGAAACAAGAACTCCGAATCAACCCGCTCCAAGAAAATATCGTGGTATAAAATTATATAAGGCCTTGTATGGTTTAAAACAATCCGAACGAATGTGGTATCAACGTCTTCGAGATTATTTAATTACAAATAATTTTATAAGTGATCCACTAATTCCTTGTTTGTTTATCAAATGAGATAAAACTAGTTTTGAGATCATCGCCATATATATTGATGATCTTAACCTAGTAGATACTACATCTGCATGTGTTACAGCTACAAACCTACTTATATGTGAATTTGAGATAAAAATGCTAGGAAAAATAACTTTATGCATTGGTCTTCAGATTATACATGTAACAGATGGTAGCATTTTTCTCTACCAACTAACGTATATTAGACGAATCTTGCAAAGATTTAATATGATTGATGCTTATCTATTGTCTACACCAATGGTTGGACGTGGTCATGATGGTCATGATCCATACCGTCCATGCGAGGAGGAGGAAGAAATATTGGGAGACCAATATCCATACCTTGCAGCGGTTGGAGCACTTTTGTGTTTAGCTACATCTACAAGACCAGATATTGCATTTGCAATTAGTGTTCTTACAAGACATAGTACACGTCCAACACTACGACATTGGAATGATATCAAAAATTTATTACATTATTTAAAAGGTATTGAAGACTTGGGATTATACTACACAAAATCAACGGATCCAAAATTGGTTGGATATTGTGATGCAGGATATAAATCTGATATTGCAACAGCTAAATCTCAAACAAGATATGTATTTTTAAGACATGGAGCTACAATATCATGGAAATCAATGAAACAAACAATAACTGCAACTTCATCCAACCATGCAGAAATTATTATCTTACATGAAGCATCTCGAGAATGTATTTGATTGCAATCAATTGATAAATTTATTCAAACAACTTGTGGATTTTCATATGATGATTCTCCAACTATCTTGCATGAAGATAATAGTGCTTGTATTGTGCAGATGTAAGTTGGTTTCATTAAAGGCGACAGGACAAAGCATATTGATCCAAAGTATTTTAATTATATTCATGACTTGATTACTGATCAAGCACTTATAATTAAGAAAATTGAATCTACAAATAACCTTGCTCATCTCTTCACTAAAGCTCTCCCATTAAGCAACCATCGTTGACTTACTTATGGCATTGGTATGCAGCAACTTGCTTTTCTTGAATATGAAAGTTAATGAGCTCTTTAAATAATTAAAGAAAATGATGTTGTACTCTTTTTCCTTCATCTATGGTTTTGTCTTTAAATAAAATAAGGTTTTCCTAGATAAGGTTTTAATGAGGTAACTATTGTTGATCTTGCAAGATCACAGAAAAGTATAGATCATAATTCTATACAAATTTTATATTATGTAAATATTATGATGAGCAAGGAGGAGTGTTGAGATCATTAAATGTAGCCGGCGCTCTCCATAATATTTACTGTAGACTATAGTAATTACCATAGCTATAATATTTAGAGTCTAGTGGAGAAGTATTGTTTATCCTCTCACTTTTCTCTTCTTGTATACGAGACACAACCAGATCAATAGAGTTGTGTGTGTGAAGCTCTCTCTCTTTAGAAACCCTCTTGTATATATGACTTACTACTACTCTTGTGTATGTGTATGACTTACTATTATTCTTGTGTCTTTTTAAACATTCTCAACAATAATAATATGGAGGTGTTGCTTTAGTAACTCTCTTTATATATATATATATATATATATATATATATACATACATATACATAACTTAAATGTAGAGGTTCCAAAAACAACCAATCTCTCTAAATTCTTTAAATCCATAGGTAAAGGCCAAAATAATGTATAGAATTTTGTAAAAAATAATTAAATTATATTTTATATTTTTACTAATTTTTAGTATAATAATATGTATATATATATATATATATATATATATATATATATACACAAGAAAGTTTTACATTATTTATGAATCTTACACTCAAATTGATTGTAGAGTCATATTTGATCATTTATTATGCAAAGTACTTAAAAAAATCATAACTAAAGTTTATATAAGTATTAGTATTATAAAACTTGAAAACTTATTAATTGAAATTAGAATTTTAATCTTAAAATACTAATTATTTTATTTTAAACTAAATAAAATAATAATAACTCAATTTATCTCTTAATTTTCTTTTCAAAAGTTCTATATGTCATAGGCTTTTATTAACAAGTTATATATATTTTATTTCTTATATATATATATATATATATATATAAATAAAATATTGACTTGGTTTTTGAATCTATATTTAAAATTTTGATGGTATTTACATTTTTAAATGTCTTATATGTTTAGATTTTTTATGATTTTAGGTGGTTTTGAAACTATCATGAAATCATGGTTGAAATATATTTTTATTTCTATTTTTACACATTGTATCTACATGTATGAACATATGAACATGTTCATTAGTATTATGAATACAAGCTTGATTAAAATAAAAAATATTACAATATCTAAAAGTGTATTTTATCCTATTTGTTAAAATAAACATATATTATTTTTGTTAAAACATTCTTGTTAAAATATTTTCTAAATTTTAACAAGAATACTTTAACAATAATATTTTCTGGTTCAGTTCATTCTCAGTAAACATGAAGTATTATATGTATAAAATTTGATTACTATAAAAATCTCTTAAATACTCCAGTTTCTTAAAAATGCAATGATTCCAATACATATGAGTTTACAACTCAACCACAGATATTTAAAAATAACAAAACAAAACAAAACAAAAAAGACTTCTAAGAGTGTCCACTTCTACGACTTATGTAGCTAACTTTTATTGTTAAATGGTATGAAGTTTCTAATATAAATGCACCACTACTTGAACATCAATGAAGATAAAGTCTTCAAACAACACAGCAACATCTATCAACTTTGTTGATAAATAGACAATGTGTTATATAGTGAACAAACACAATTTTACACAAATATTTAAACCTGAACATTTTGAACAGCAACTTTACAAATAAGTTTGTCTGGTTACAGACACTTTCATTTTAGGTGAAGGTTCTATTATGCATGTCTGCACCTAAAATGAAAGTGTCTGCAGAGTACGTCGTTGACTGCACACCCACAAGGTATTAATTTGCGTGCAAGGATAGCCAAGATGTGATACTGGTCAGCAGTGGTTGTTGAACTAATAGACATGCACGTATCTCATGAAGTAAAACGTAAAGATGCCATTCCCTTTCATGCATTTATGACAAACCAGTTCGTATAAAGGTTGATAGTACTGCTTCTGTGTAAAAAACTGAGGTCGCTGGTTTCATTAACCATGAGAAAAGACAAATGCTCCTAAAGATGTGTATAACCTTGAAAAGCAGGAAAGATAACTAGACTCAGACTTGACCTGAGGTAGATGTCACGAGGATACTCTTCAATACATTTCTCGTCGATACAATACGTTATATACCACAAATTGCAGTAATTCAAACAAGTCAAAGACCTGATAACTACAAGTATGCCAAACATTCAACACAGAATATTTACGGGAATGGAGACAGATTAAGTCCCTGCAAAATCGACTGTTTAATTGAGGCAGACGTTCTTCATAGCATCAATGATCATTAACAACCAGCGTGGACATAAAATTGACAATCTCGCGGACATTGTTCTTTCATTCTGGTCTCATATGCTGAACTATTCTGCAGAGAAGTAAATAGAGGGTGCAGAAGCCGACAAAGGATTCGAGTTATCATGCACTACTTTGAAATACGAATAGAACGAGCCTACAAACACACCTACAAACTCACACATTCAAAATAATTGCAGCAGCAGCAGCAATAAATAAAATAATACTACTACTACAAAGGAGGAACAGAAGGAGGAGCAGAAGGAGCAGTAGGAGGAGAAAAAACACGAGGAGCTTGAAGCACGATAAAGAGGGTATTCAAAGTGAACAACCACTCTTTGCTTGAAGAACTATCTAACATTGTATTAACCAATAGGGATGACGACTACTTTCAAGGTTGATGCTCCATTCTATGGTAACAGTATCGAAACCACAAGTCATACACGATGTTTACATCATCAATACTTCGTTTTTATACATGAAAGTTTGCATCAGTCTCTTTAACTACAATAGCTTAACGGCGTCAAAAACTAAGAGCAGCTGCAAGGATATATCCCAACGGTGCATAATATTGTCCATTTTCAGAACATTTCACATTTTGAAATTCCCTCAAAAAATATTGAGACCCCGGATATGCTTTCTGGAAGTCTCACCCAAAGATAGATACATAACACACACAACGGAAATTACAGCCAACAGGTAAATTGTTTCAGATGTGTAATGTTCCATAGCATCGCTGGTATTCGATCTTCACCCTTCAAACTTCGGGCTTCTGTCTCAGACAGGATTACGCATTCAAACACTCAGTAAAGGACCCATACCACCCCTCTTGAAGGAGATCTGGAACACCAACGCCGTCGAACTGATTCAAGTCAATTGGGTCATAAAGCTCCTGGAAGGTGCCACGCGACACGTCAGTGCTGGAGATGTTTTGCTTCTTATCATCGAGGGTCATTAAAACACTCCGCGGGTTGTCCTTGGGTTGCTCCACACATGTCCATGAGGAAGCTGCCACTCCCTCATCCTGAAAAAAGAAAACCATCAGTTCGAAATATTGCATCTCACTAGTAAATCAATAAATTAACAAAATAACATTAATTAATATAAAAGAAGGAACTTAAAAGAAACAAAGAGAAATTAAAGAATCTTAATGATGACACAAAAATCTTTAAAAGAAAACTTAGTAAGTTGTTACGTACCATATTGCAGATACTAGAATTCATGCTTTTGATCCCACTAGGATTACTAGAATCTGGTGATCCCTGAGCACAGGGCTGTCGGGCAGCTTCCAGCTCTTTTTTCAACTTCTCGAATTTGATGGCCAACTCGTTCTTTTCATTCTTTAAGTTTTTGGCGAGCTGCTCAGCTATCTTTGACCTGCGGGATAAAGTAGCGTTCTCCAAACGCAATTGGGCAGTCTGCAGGGAAGAGCGGTATCAGATAAGAGACTCGCAGGTCAGTGCTGGAGAAGTTTTGCTTCAAGGAAAATTTATAAAGCACTGACCGACATGAAATAGATGGGTTTCGCAGGGTTCTATCACCAAAATTTCGAGCTCATCCAAACGCTTCTGCTTCCTTTGTCTCGAACGTTGCGCCGACGCACGATTCGATGACATCCTGCACCAAAACCCACACAAAGGTCTCAGTTCGAAAGAATCACAACTCTTTGTCTCTAACAAACAATATTTTCTTCCGTGCATCAAAGGGATATGTTCACACACATCTGTGGAAAATTCAGAGGATACACCGCCCAAAAAGTGGGTATACTTAGTAGCGTTCATCTCAACAGTCATCGTTAAAAGAGACAGTAATCTAGTACCACAGCTCATGCTAAGTAGTGAGCTTTCCCTGTCCTTCAGAAAACTGTGACGACACTCACAGCACTTCCAGAAGTTAGAGAAACTAATCTTCCTGTGAAACTTTACCTGTGCCTGTACTTCACTACACCGACAGTTTAATTTTTGCTCTTCAAAAAGTTCAATTAGAATTGGATGAGCACAAATGGGAGTTTCTCAGAGCCGGAAGTGCTGTATCTGTAGTTGATGAAATAAAGGTGGTCTTGCAATATTTCATGACATGCTCCAAATCGCATACCATTAAGAAACCGGTGCACCTGGTAAAAACAGGAACTCTCAACGTACCTTCTCTTTCTTTTCTCGTCGACTAACAAAGGAGCTACACCATCCATCTCGGAATCATGCACAGCATGATTCCGTCCTTCGGTGAGAGCAGACTTGCGAGTTTTTCTGCTCTTTGGTGCAGCCGCGACTGGGTCTGAAGCATCCTGATGCGACAACTTGACAACCAAGAGAGAAGACTTAGTGGGAACCGCCTTCGGTGCAGTGCAAAAGTCATCCTTGATGCAATCAAACCATGTCGAAAGGGATCCAGTTGACGCAATCGCATCGGCCTCCATGTCGTCGACATCCTCGGAGTCCAATTTCCTCACAACTGTCGAATAGTCGTTGACCATATCGACCAACGTATTATCCGACAAACCCGACGAATCTGGCAGTGTCGAGGTGCTGCCATTGCCATACACGCTTGTACTGTCATCGACATGTGTTTCGTAATCGGGCTGATCCTGGTTTAAGAATCCCCTATTAATACAACCATGGAGCATTCAGTAAAGTTACGAAAACTTCTCCGAGTGTGCACAAACCATTTCTTGAGTTAGTTATGGCCACCGCCACGGTAGCCATGGCGATACGAAGATAATCAAACAACTGCAATGAAAAGAATCACTATCAAATGTCGTTTCCATTTTAGTAATTTTTTTGCATCAGGATATAACAAGAAGTATCGTTTTCATGTTATTTTTAAATTTAACGGCCAATTCATAAACTCAAACTACATGCAAAGACTCCTCAAAGAACCGAGTTCTTCCACTAAACCTGCAATACTTACACGACCATTCATAGGACGTCTTCAGGGCCACACAAGCAAGCACAGACATTCCATGACCCGTAAAACGCACAAAATGGAGAAAACCAAGACTCACCTCAAGAGATCGGGTACACAAATCCTGGCCCGCTCTTCAATCAAACCGTGACACATTTTGCTTCAATTGGACTCCACTTGGCTTCAACTTTGTAGCAGATCTCTTCAACCCTCGAGTTTAGAAAGACTACAGAGAAGTCCTGCATTTAACTAAACTTGTCAACATATGGACAATGCCCCTTGACAGCGCTGTAGCACACATCTCCCTAATCCTCCAATTTCACAAGCACGTTTCAAGCATGCATCAACACCATTCACAAATAATAAGATACTTCCTAACATCCTTAGCACATCAACTCTTCGGACACAATCACAGGACAAGAGAAACCTCACAAATTATGCCAACCTTCACCAATAATCCACAAACCCTTGCACACTAACACCGACGGAACCACTCCTCCGATCACCACCTTTGTCGTCTTGTTCACAATTGGATGTAAAATGATACACTGCCGACCTAGAATCTACAAACTCTCACACAACTCCCTCTCATCGACACTCAACAAGCAATCTAACCCCCACTCCACTCCACTCACACGACCACGACTGCAACCAACACAGCTACGCTAAATGAACACATATCAAGCGACGTACCGCAGAATCAAGGGCACACTACTCGCAATTGATCCACCCACGCTCTTTGATCTCACGGCCACATGCAGCAAGCAACTGCACCAATGATGCACAAATCGATCTGTTCCAGGCTCATGGCTCTTGCCTGAATGCAGTTTTCGCGATTGACGACCGAATCCGACACTGGATTTCTCGTCGGTGTTCGTTGGCTCCTTATTGATGTCGTGATCCTGGACTCGTAGGGTTACGTGGATTCTGCTGTCGTTAATATTCTTAAGAGTCTCGCATCCAAAAACAAAAGAAAACAAAACACAAAACACAAAAAAATAAATCATGAAAGTTATATCTGTTTATTTAGAAATTGCTTCACCACTTCGATGTTGCAATTGACACCTCGAGTCTAATCTTCGTTGCACTATCTTCCACTAAATCCACAATCAGAATACAAAATCCGCATATTCGACCATAACATTTCAATCGCCTTCCGCCGCAGCACTCGACAGCGGTAGCGATGTCGCTATGGGAATGAACAAGAAAACATCAACAATAACAACAAAACCATTTGCGTGCTACAAAACCTGGTTGCGAAGGATGTGGTGGATTAATTAATTGGAATTAGTTGGCTATGATGGCAAATTTTGATTGCTGTGCAGGATTTTGATTGTTCGTTTTAAAGTGTTGGTGGAAATTGGTTTGATTGAGTGTGGAAAAGATTTTCATGAGTTATAGTGAATATCCTGTTGTAAAAACGTTTTAAGCACTTTAGGAACTGAGTTGTAATTCATAAAATCAAATTTGAATATTGCCTAACAAAAGAAAGTTGTTATTTTTTATTACTTTATCATTATTATTTATTTCAAGAACATGTATATATATATATATATATATATATACATATATAATTGTTTACATATTCAAATACATATAATATTGTCAAAAACATGAATCTTTGAGAATTGGTTAAGTGATAGTATATTTTTGTACAATTAAAAATATTATATACATAAATATAAATATATACATATATTAATGCAAAGGTCTTTGGAGATCTTGATAAGTAGGTGAGAGGCCACAACTTTTGAATTTTTGATTGGATGAAATCTAGAAGATTTTTAGTTTCAACTTTTAAAAGATTTAAAGATTGTAGCATCTTATCTTAACTCCTAGATATATAGATCTCAATAGAGTTGTTATTCCTAAGTATAAAGCAATTATTTTGTATTTGAAATATAAGATATCACAACAATTGCTAGTTGTTAAAATTATAAAGCATACATAGATACAAACAATATTCTTATTGGTAGACTTGAAAATTGTCAATTGTTGTACAAATAGTACTATCTTCTACCTACATAGATTGAATTTTGGTTGTAAATGCATGCAAATCGTTTAATACTAGATTTTGTTTTTATAAAAATAATAAATATAAAAATAAGACAAATTTTGCATTAATTATAAAAACTTTGATATGCTTAGAATTTTTACATAAAATAAAAATATACAAAACGAGATATAATAAAAATAAAACATTATAAAAATATTTGGTAAAAAAGTAAGAAATCCATGATCTCTACATAGCTTTGATACATGTGTCTATAAATAATTTTAAAACTTTTTCATTAGAATTATTAGTCATTTTAAATTATTAGAAACATGAAATACTACTAAATAATATATCAATGTATAATTTTTAATTTTTATATTTAAAATAAAAAATATTAACATGACTATTGTCTAGTACAAAGAAAATAAATTTTTTAAAATTAAGACAACAATATAAGAAGGGAATTGATATTTCCATCCAAAATTTCACTATTTCTATCCATCATATGTCTACTACCATGATACAATACTTCCACTATGTACATGGAGTTACGAACATCACATTGCATAGTCTTCACATAAGTCTATGATTTCTATCATCTCATTGCTTTCTTTGCCCACATCATTCGACTCCATGCCTAATTATGCCTTTGTATGCATGGCTAATTGGTGTTGCTATGTAACTTGCAATTCAATCCCACCATGCCTTTGCTAAAAAGGAGGCTTCAATAGCTAGTAACATGCTATTAGAAACCAACTATGCCACTTGGAAATGGTTGTTACAAAAAAAAAATGGCAAGTTATTCTATTTCATGGTCATAGTTATGTGATGAGTTGAAATAGTAATAGTATGAGTAGAAATATTAATTCTCTCTAGAAAAAGTATTAATAGGATTAGATATGACCTCACTTTTATCTTTAAGTATACCAACTAATAAGAAGGCTATGAAAAAGCCTATTCACATCCACAAGACTTGCAAGTCAAGTATCCAAATTGTAGGATGATTGCAAAGATACTACTTAGATATGATTTTTTTTTTTTTTTTTTTTTTTTTTTTCTTCCTTCTTATAGTGACATAATGATATTTTAGATTTAATATTTCAAATAATCCTGGAAAAATCACTATTGAACCCTCAATTATTTGGTTTTGCTAATACCTCAAGTTTGAACCCCCTTAATATATGTGTATATAATACATACATGCATTCATTATTATATTAATTTTTTATAATATTAAATAATTAATAATATAGATTTTTTAATATGTTTAAAAATATACATGTTTTAGAACATATAAACATAAGTAACAAATAATGAAACATATACCTAAAAATATAGATAATAAATAGAAGTGTTATTTGATTTGATATCTTGTATATTAACAAAGTTACCAAAAAGTTAAAAATTACAAACTAATTTTGAATATTTACTTTTTGAAAGTTAAAAATTACATGTTTAAATCAACTTGATAAAAATAATTAATCATAAAAGTTTTAAATGAACAGTAAAATTTATACCAAATATAAATATTACTAAATAAACTTCTCTAAAGTTATTTTACATACAATATTCTTAATGTAAATATTATAGTTTTTGTTTATTTTTGTATGCAAATTTTGTTTTCTGTTTTCAGAATAACAACTTTTCTTATTATAATTCAATAAAACAATTTATAAGTTTTCTATGTTTTGAATTGGTACAATAAACTATGATCTCGTATTTTCTATTGAGACTTATAAAACTTTAGAGGTGAAGGATTAACCATTTAAAACATTTGTAAATTAAACTATATTTGAATGTTTTCCTAAATATCTTGTTATAAGTGTTTTTTTTTTTTCTGAAATTCTAAGTTTATTTTCTTAGAGCACGTTTAATGTATATTAAATTCAATATATGCACATGTTTAGAAATTTATAAGAGTTGAATCAAAATTTATCAAACAAATGATTAGGTGTAATTTTATACTCTTATAAAAGATATATAGTTTATCAGTTTATATGAGTTCAAGTTGGGATTTGTGAATAGCTATATATATATATATATATATATATTTATATAGATATATTCATTTTTTAAGAAAAAAATCAACTAAACAAAAATTATTTCATACTTTTTTTTACAAAAGATAAATAATTATTGATGAATATGATAATATCTTTAAAGAAAATCAATTTTAGAAATGTTTTAAACTAAGTAAATAATGGATGAATTCTAAAAACGTAAACAAATCAATGTGTTAATTAAAATGCTAGATATGTTTGTATAGTGTGAAAACTTAAGCTTAAAGATTCAACACTTGTGTTACTTGAAAAGTGTTGCACTGTAAAAGAACTTTATACAAGAAATTGAATTGGTGAAATTGGTGGGATAGATTAAATTTTCATTATTAATGTCACCCAAGAACAAATTGCAAACCATTCTGGTGTGCTGAAAGAATCTTCTCATCAAATTTTCATTATTTGAATCTTCCTACAGTATTGATCACAATCATCATTTTTGATACGGATTCTTGAAAGAAAAGAGCAGATAATGTTTTCTAAATTTTCACTAAATTTAGGAAATGTAACAAATTTCTAAGATAGTTTAGCTGTGACAGATGAACCAGCACTTGCAAATCCTAGCCAAAGACAAGTTTTAAAGATCAACATATCTGCTTTTGCAAAAACAACTGCTCATAAATCCTCAGAACAGGAAGTTGAAGAGATGATATAAGAAAAGCTACCACAAGAAACACGCTTGCGCATAGACTGAATCAAATAAATATTTCCGCACAATTTTATCCACACCCTAACACTGTACACCCACTTTCAGGGGAAAAGTATACTAACTATGGTACTGATAGTCTCAGATTATGGGACTCAGGTTCTTTCCTTCCTTTTTTCCTTGACTTATTAAAAAAAAGTCCTGACCTAGGTTAGAAACACTCCACTTCAATTGCATTTCTTGTGTGAATGTGCCATCCTCAACATTTTGGGGGTACCATTTGCACCGTCATTTTTATCATCCCTGGAGAGCAATCGTCACTTGACGCTGCTCCGGACATCAAGAATCAAATCATGTAGCTCTGGAAATGTAGCAAGTAAAACCGTTTCCAAAAGGTTGTAAGCCAGCTGCTTCATGCACACACTAGCCTGCAAAAGCCGCAAACTTAAATGAATCAGTAAAGTGCGTAAATAGCATACCATTCATTTATTATCAATTAAATATTATACAATTAAGAAAATATATTCTACACAAGATCGGATATTTCACAGGAGTGTCCCTGCTTCCGCCACATTCTAGGACTCGAATGTAAACGTCCGAAACTTGGAGGTAGATTAAAACAGAAATCTAAAACAGAATTTCACGTCTATCTCTAATCACTGTCCGAGCAGGACGTAATTATACTTCATGAAGTCTTACCTGGCTGAAGTAGTAAATGTCTTTCGCACATCTTACATACTGCTTCTTGCCGATAAGACTGACTAATGTGGCAGGTGCTTTATCTGCAGCACGAAATGCAGCATTAGAGTTTTCCAAGACTTCTTCTTTCACTCATTGAAGGATACTCAGTATACTACAAAAAGTAGTTGAATAAAGGGAAGACGAGAGTGACAACAGACATGACCAGAAAGAGATAATAAAAAGGAGAAGAAAATTTAACAAATTATTCACAAAGGAGCATACTGGAAAAGCGAACTATAGCACTGCCTGAAAAATAAAATTTCATAAACAAACACAAAAAATACCAACGATGATCTCTCGCAAAAATGAAGCTCGTCGTGCAGCCTCCCGTCTAAGCTCAAATGAGTTAATTGGTGGATGACCCTCGTCAAGAAATTCATTCGCCGAGTCTTCCACAACCGCTGAATTTTTAGGGTGTTTAGTAATAAAAATGCCATCTGGCCATAACACCTGCAAAGAAACAAGAATTAACAATCAATTCTCTTGCCACAAAGTTACAGCTGTTCATCATTTGAAACTGGTTGATCTGCGCAAACTTACGTTACAGCTGTGCATCATTTGAAAAGTACTGACGACTCACCCCCTTCAACCAATGTACACCCGATGCTACGACGTCTTCATTTCGTAGCCATTGTATTCTCGCAATTAGCCAGTCGTCAAAAGCATCACCCATACCGAGCTGAAGAATCTGCTTGGCAATCCATAGAATTTGACGTCTACAAAACAAACACGTTCAATTTCATCATGCACTTGATCATACTACTGGAAGAATACGTGAATACTGAAAATAGTACAAAAGCCTCGAAGGGTACATCTGACTGAGGGCAAAACCTACACATCATTTTGGTGAGAAACAAGTGGTGCGGTTCTACACAGTTAATAAAGAGGCGCAAATCACCAAAAAGCTCAACGTAACTGGAAGCATAACTTTACATCAGCATACCTGATCCAGCCACGGCCCTGAAGCTGAAAAATCTGATCGACCAAATTAAGAATAGGCACGGTAACTTTTGGCGGAGACCACTGCATTAATTCAATCAAGTCAATTAACATAATTAGCGATGACTCTACTGTCAGTTGACACAAACAGAATCTGAATGATTAAACCTAAGAGAGGATGCACTTCATGACGAAGATTTCCAACTAATGATTGCCGCCAGACTGGACTGGAATTGCTTACCTCCTGAGGAATCACCAATTCATCTTCAATGACATCAGAAGCAAATGAATCCGCGGGTGAATGTCCCTCTGAAAGAGCTCTCTCTAAGGGCCTTCCGAACAGCTGATAACCCCTCATTTCCGACTGGCTACTAAAAACAGGTGCCGCAGTCTTTAAAATATTGACCTCGATAGGATCCCTGGCGGTTTCACCATCTGAGTGCCATTGAATTGAACCCACTCCCTGACCAGAATCCTCTAAATGTGTCCCATAATTTCCTTTACACTCCCCTTCTAAGGTCGAATTACTAAGCGACTTTTCACCAAGGTCTCCGTCAGGAATGGCAAGCATTGCTAATGGACCACTGAGTTGAGATGTTGAACTTTGGGAGGGCAAGGTTGTGCTAATCTGGGTACTGTTTGTGGCAACGGATCGACCAAGATCTCCACTGCCCAACGGAAACCTTTGCCGAATCCCACTCGTTGCTAGCTTCAGGGCTCCAGAGATATCATCTGAAACACCTCGAATCTGGCGAAAGACGTCATCCACGACATCATCTACATTCACTGACACATTGATATATGAATAACACAAGAGTAGAGTCCGAACAAATTGCAAGCAAAAACAATTTCATGCAAATTTCTTTTATCTGGACTTCATTGAAGAGGTGTCGTGTTGCCCTTCAAGGGCTAGTTACGAAGATAAGAGCACCCAAGGATAACAGACCTGCTAACGTCTTCATCACAGACGGTGAAATCCCAGGCGAGTAGATCTGTGAGGAAAATTCAGATTTTCAGAAATTCATTCAAAAGCAGCAAGAATGAATGCATAATTCGAGTGCTAAAAATAAAATCGTGACGGTAACCAAAAACAATACTCACGATCTCATTGAGACCATCAACTCTACCAACAGCCGTCATCAAAAAGTGGTTGGTAGAAGTAATACCTGAGAGTTGACGCTTAGAAAATCCCAAATTTCATGCAATTCTGCTACGCTGGGAATTGTTAACAAATCCTGTTACGCCATAAAAGGTAAATGAAGATCAAAGATGTGCACCAATCACATGCCCAGATATGACAATGTCATGAATACGTGTGCAATTTTCATTAGAGCAACACATGAGAACGTAGACTTGCTGACATTATGTGACGGATTGAATGAACAAGAACAGTTGAGGGACTTGAATTGCTACAAATCCAAGCACACAGAAACATAAACACTCAACCCCAAAAGATCCATATTATCAGATTTGAAGAATACTGCAGTAATACATCACAATTGAGCAATGAGGGACCATCTGCTGGCTGCACTTACTTTCAAGTACTTCTCAAGAAGTACACAACGCTCCCGCACAAAAGTAGTGTCAAGGTTGAACGAGAGAAACCTCTTAGGAGGCAGACAGAGACTGTAAGATGGTACATCTTTCAAACGCCTATGTAGCTGTTCAAAGTTGCGATACCTACCCCGGAAACCAAAAACGACAAATTGTATTCAATAATCCAGAATCGAACTACAGTAACTTCAGTACAGGAAAGCGTTCAGAAATTGATTGAACCCACATACTTCAGCAGAACTACAGAATCTACTTATTGTTACGTATAGAAGTTTGCTGTTCGTATTCACAAAAACAAAACCTTCTAAAACCCTAATATTGAACACGCTAGTGCGCACAGAGTAGAACAGAATAGAACAGAATATAATAGAAAAAACACAGAGTATAATAGACTGTAATGGAATAGGATAGGGTGCATGTCTGAACGACACATCCAAAGCATTATTCAGACCTTCTTTGAACTTGCCAGTTTCGATTATCAGTATGTGTCACCTTTATAGTGTACACTACAAATGCCTTAGATCCATTTTTCTCAAAATGTGCTCCCAGGACCTATCTCACAAAAAATAAAACCACTGCACAAATGAGATATGCGAGAGCAGAGTTGGACTGTAACATGACAGCCTAATTTGAGAAGTCCAACCCCGATTGAACTCTGGAACCGAGCACTTATGATTACCAGGCTTGCTATCACATGCAAAAATGATCTCCATTCAAACTTACCTCACACTTCAGCAACATTTGAGAAGTTGATTCTGTAAACAACAGCGAAGCCTGGGCCTTAAGAGACGGGCGAAGTGATTCCTCCACAACGCTGACCTGTTTGCAGTCTGTAATGGATGGATCCCAACTTAAAGGTCTTTCTAGAAATGTCAAAAGACCCTCTGATGGCCCTTCTTCCGACTCTTGCCACCCATCTGGTTCACCACCTACGTTTCTAGACTTTGGACGTGACAAACATCGTGGAGGCCGCTGCACATTCAGTGGTCCATAATCTGATTTCGAAAGATTCTTATAAACATTGCACTCCTGTTTGTCATTTTCTGTAATCGCTTCATTGTTTCTACGGAAAGTCACAAAATCCCCATCACTACTACATCTCGCAAAGTCTGCACTTTTCCAACTGGGAGCAAGTTTAGTAGAACTGCAACCACCTGGTGTTTCAGCCGCCGAGAATCCTATCCCAGGCATTGTTTCATCTCCATCATTTGCATCTCCAAACAATAGCTCCCTGTACTGCTCGCTAGCGCAGCTGGGTTCTTTCTTAGTGTGCAAATCTTTACTGAGGAAAACGACGGGAGTGGGCACTACATTTCCATAGTCTGAACTTGCAGAACTATCCTTGTTTGTGGCAGAAAGTGTTGATACTTTGGTGCTTGATTTGGTTGGTGTGGATTTCTCAGCATTGGCTTTCTTACTTTGAGTGGTGCCACCAAGAGCTACAGATCGTTCACTCTCTCGCTGCTTGTAGTTTCTCCCTTTAGTCCATAAATTGTCCAGATGCTCAGCAGTGAGTGCTTGTGCTCGGTGTTGGGTTACAGCATCCAGAACTTGGGCCCAATCTGCACGAGGAATGAGTCCCCAGTCTCCTACATCATCAGGCTCAATCTCTTGGGACCTTTTTGAATCTACTGATAGCTGTGACGGGGAAGGCGTCCCAATGTCTCCAACTGAAGTAAAAAGCCTTTCATTATTCTTCTGGTACGGAACAATTTCCAATCCTCTCACGGTGGACTGGGATTTTTCCAAACAAATCATCTCCAGACCAGAAATTGAAGGCTTCCTCTGCAATATGCGCTCCGGGATTCGCTGCTTGGCTACTTCGGCTGCCTCTTCAGCCGCTTGACGCGCTCTCTCCTTCGAAGAGAGTGCCAGATTTTCAATCATCTCATTAATGAACCCAGGATTCGCAAGGTTGATGACAGGCCTCAGCACTACACAAGCCAACAACTCCCGTGCCATGATTCTCAACAGTCCACATTTTGCGTCTTGTCGCTTAAGCACTAAAGCAACTATTCCTCCCGTTAGTTTCTTCAAAACCTTGTATTCAGCTTCTGGGGAAACAAGCGCTGGATGCAACTCCCTAGAGGACATCATTGCATATTTTAGCTTTTCATCTCGCTCTTCTGTAGAGAGTGAGCCAATTATGTCGGGTCCAATCTTCGCCTTCATCCGCCGATAGAGCTCAAACTGAGAGCCCACAACATCTACCACGTCCCGTGAGAGAAGAGTTATCAAGTTCACGCGTTTCACACGCTGGGCAACCACGCCTATCATGCCATTGATGAGAATGCGGAGCTCCTCCGGTGCTTCTTCGTCGGAAGTAACGGAAGAATACCAGAGGTTGGTTACCCATTCATCAATTAAGCTCCTGGTGAACTCATCCACAGCAGCCTCGACGGCAGGAGAGTTGAAGTAGTGGCGCCATCTGTTGGCAGCTGTGTGGGATGCTTCAGAAAGAAGCGGATCATGGCTGCTCAGCTGACGTCGATGCAGCATCGGTAACTGTGGAACTGCAGAAGTTTGAGTTGGAGGAAGCCTCCACCGAATCTCAATGTCAAATGAAACACGGCGCAAAGCAGCTAAGACAATGATTGCAATGGGTAGATTGATCCATACGGAGCTGCTCGTCAAAGACATCATGTAGGCAAGAGTAACGGCGACAGCTACGACCATAATTGCCCGACGTTTAGCTTCCTCCAGCAAACTCATCCAAGTCTTCATGGTTGCTCGGGTGCGTCGGGCGCGCCAATAACTCAGTATTTTACACAACTATATGGATTCGATTGGCGAGCATAATTCGCCACACTTGCAGAGCCAATCAGGAGGTCGTGCCTTGGTGTGGGGCACAGAGAAATGCATCACGGCACTAGTTGTTTTGGCTCACACAAGTGCAGGACTGCAACATAAGTATTTCATTCGGTGCCTCTAATTAAACACTGACGCAGCTTCCCTCTTCCTGCTCCCGTCATTCCAGAGTACATTTACGGGAACGCAAAACACACCTTGATTATTTGCACTTTCACTAGTCTGGTCCTCGACGTATCTTCTCAAACGAGATTTCTTATAATCGCTTCACAACTCCTTGCCCAGCTTTTCTCTTGCGGCTTGCATTCTCTACGTTAGACCTCAGTATCAGACTCGGAAAGCCTAGGCCTAATACCACATGTACGAAGTTCACAACACCCAATTTTTTCTCGAAGATCATGGCGCACTTGCCAATGCCAAAACCTAACAACCATCCTGACCAACCTAAGACGAAATGCTTCAGCCAAGCACAACAACTGTCGGTCGCTGCATTCAAAATGAAAATGAAAAAACAAAAAAAAATCTGCAATGACACTTAAATACCTCCCCCAGACTCCTAAATCATGTAATACGACGACTTTCGAAGTTGCTGAAAACTGTAAAGCCTTTTAGAACCCTTCCATTGACGCTGCTACGAACTCATGAGCCGTGAGCATTCTTCACGCTTCAGCTACGCATCACCTACAGGAAATCCACATAATTTCGGCAACGCTAACATCCAGGAGAATGACATCCAATGTCAATTTCCAACAAGACACAGCCACACTACATCCACTGCCAAAACGATTCTCCCGCTAACACTTCTTTGCAACCAGGCCTTCAACACTGGATTTCTGAACGCCAAACCCTAGCAGTAGCAGTAGACGACGAGAACACCGCTCGCTGTAACTAAAATAAAAATCAGTCGTTCGTAAGAGAATCTTCTATTTCAAAACCTGGTGAGACAACGATCTGCGAACCCGCCCAAGCTCCTTGAATCATCCCTGCTGAGGTAACTGTGACCAAGATATTAATCCAACCCCGAACCTAGTTCTAGAATTCGACTTCCAGGGCATGGGGCATCCTCTCAACCTGAGTAAACAGAGATGCAAACTTCCACGCGTGATCAGTGCTGGGTACGAGTGCGCTTTAGAATACACATTGTTCTAGCTGGTGTCGAGGGGGGCAACCGTAAGACGGCTACTCCATGGCGACAACAACTATGGTGAGTATTGTGAGACGGATCAAGAATTCTGGAGCGACCAAAAAGGTGGCGTGCGAGTAGAGGCGAAGAATCAGAAACAGCTGATGATGAAGCTTCTTCACATGAACGCCGCATCAACTTTAACCGGACGTTCAAGACAATCGCTAAAAAAGAAAAATCCAGGTCATTGAAAATTTAGAAAACCGGAGTGGAGTTCATTGAATTTGGCAGCTAATCGTGCGGTATTCTAAAATTATCCATATCGCTCTAATATCTGGTGATTATATGCCATGCTCGGCTCTGGGATTCGCTCATGTTCCAAACACAATTGGCGCTCCATGCGCCACAAAATGTCTGACCAGCTGCACCTTCGGGATGCCATTCTCATTAGAATCTTTTCTATTTTATCAGTGGTGGTGGCAGGAACAATGTATATTACCTGCCCTTTTGTTGATGCGTAATATAATCGAAACTTCAAAGATCAGCAACTCCATAGGCGTGTTGTCGTCATGCATCAGTCGTCAGGTAGTTTTCTACCGCAAGTAAAGAATGGCTGCGATTAAATTATTAAACTAGTGCCTCAAATAGCAAGCAATTTTGTTGATTTTCGAGGGTGGAGGTCGCACCGTGATGGATCAGTTTGGGTGGCGCAAGTTACTGAGACGATGCACGCCCAACACTCGAAGCCTACATTTGTGGGGCTCACACATTCTCACATCATTTTCCACAACGCCACACGGAACCTTGAACGAATCGCCATCACTCGACCCAGCCTGCTCTTAAATGCCAAATTGTCGACCCTGCTGGACGGAGCTTGAAAGACGACTCAAAACCGATTCGAATTCGAAAGGATGGCCGCAATCTCCAAGTGAACTTGATTGACCGCTAAAACTAGGCACGAGCTCAAAATTTGAATCCTTGTCTTCTGATTGGGACAGATTGCAAGGATGCTTACTGTCGCACCTGACTAAAGTATCGCTAAGTACCCCACCTCAGTGACAAAATTTATCTGTCAAGGGAGAGGTTGCTTGAGCCAGTGTGGAAAAGTGAGGCGCAAGGACGTATCGAGTAGCGGGAGCGTCCAAATGATGAGGTGCACTGGTGATGTCCATTGATTACTGTAGTCTTCCGCATGAGATCACTGATGAACGAGGAGTACCGGCACCATTAGAGAAACAGCCGATCTAAATGCTCACTCCACTGATTCTGGATTAAATCCTTTGGCGAAAAAATCGATCACAAGTTCAATTTAGAATGCTATGAACAGAAGAATGCTAGGCTGTAATAGAGATTAAGCATTGAGCTGCTGGCTGATAATGGAAAGCGTGGGATCTTGGCTGGCTCCACCTGAATTTCATTCTGTTCCTTGGAGAGCAAATGTTGGAGTCTTGTGTGATTGCACAACGACCTCCAGGCTATCATCTGGAGCGCCCGCATGATGCGCCGCTGCTTTTCCTGGTACGAATGTGCCAATCATTACTGCGCTCTTATTCAAGCCGCATAGTCTGTAGTGGAGTAATTACTCCCAAACCCAACAAGGGAATGGACATCAACCTCATTAAATGTGAAGCGACCTCCACTCTTCACTGCTTGTCCGGCAGTAATGTTACAACAAGATTAGGTTGTTAGCACGGCCGCCACGATGAGCGACGTCTGAGCACGGAATGCAAGATTAGATCATAATCGCGCTCGGTAAGCTTCGTGTTTGTTCTGTGGAGACGTCAGTGTTCACCGCTGGAATAGCTGAGGAATGATTGGCTCCGACTCAAGCTTTTGGAAATATACTTTGACTCGTGAGTTTTATGGAGCCGTTCTCTTCACTCCTAGGGCTGTCGTAGCAGAGCTCGAGGCAGTACAAACACCTTCTATCACATATTTTGAAGAGCGGGTCGCATCGATTAACGCAAACTCTCTAAACGTTTGTTCTCGTTGGTTTGTAGAGAGGGTGATGGAAGGCTTCATGGCGACCCACATGTTAGGCAATACGAGCTTTTGACAATGTCGGTCATGATGCACTTCAAGGTGTGTAGATGTACTGGAAGTTGATGTACTGCAAGGTTGTGGAGACTGGTTCTTGCGATGTGAGAGACCAGCCTCAAAACAGCGCAGCGATTTTGATGCCGCTAACTCGAGGGAGACGGCCATTTTCCATCTATGGCCAGCGTCGGCTGCCCTCTCTTGGTATCGTGAAAATGACTTCAACGGACGAAGTGAATGGGCTCTAACGCGATTTGCGCATTTTGGAGCTCAGCGCAAGCATCCGAATGGTGGGATTGATGGCACCGGGATTTGGTGCACTTGTAATTTTAACCGACTTGCCGCTTGTACTGGGCAATCTGCAGAGCACTGTGGAGCTGAATGTGAAGCAGGTTATTGTTTACAGATGTGCAGCCTCCCTGGTAGAACGCGAAAGATGATGTCCTAGACTTGAGTCCTCAATCTATTGACCTCACTCCTGCATTGGACTGCGTCGACACGATCCTTGAGCCTTGTGCTGTCAATGAAGTGGCTCTGCGAAATTGATGAGACAGATAGAGCCAGTGGCACCAGGTATAATTATACTGCTGGCTTCTCGCGCAGAGGGAAGAAAGACGGCCAGTTCTTCCGAATCGCAGCAAGGTGATTCAACGTGGTCGTTGGCTTCAAGCAACCTCTGTAAGGCAACAAGCACACCTGTTTGACGATTTATAATTTCCTTGGAAAAGTCTCTTCGCACTGACAACCAGCAGCGCCAGCTATGGTCCGTGGGCGCATCTTGAAGCTTAGCAGCTGGCACAATTTCATGTGAACGACACAATTTCTTGGCGGCAACTATCAGACGCATTAGAAAGTGAACCGCCACCACGGCGAAATACATTCCTCTAAAATAGTCCCTCGAAAGATCTCTGAGCTAATAAGGATGTTTAATTGCCTTAGCAGCCGCAATCTTCAGTTCAACTCAGCTTCTCCTACCAGTTCAGCATGAAGCTCGAGAGCTTGTGGGGAGTATCATGTAGGGATGGGACAGTACTGCCTCTCAGGTCCACAGTTTGGTGGCTTCTTTGTGGACAGGTGACACTCGAGCAAGCAAAGAAAATATAATAATGACCTCGTTCGTCAGCCTAAGCTCAGCAAATTAATACTGCTCCTGTCAGAATTTCAAACTGTCCGATTGAACTACCGACTCTAACTAAATACAAGATCGGTACATTTTAGGGTGAAACTCGAAGTAATGAACACCCAAATACACGAACTCAATGTAGGGCTCGTTGAGTTGACCAAAAATTTGCACACATGGCGTTTACATCTCCTTCTTGAAAATGCAATTTTGACTGGTATTGGTTGAAAATTCCAGCCACGCCTGGAAAGTGTAATTCGGCGTGTTTTGGTTGAGAATTCCAGAAACACCTCGAAATCAATACCCGACTTGGATCTCTTCTATGAATCCTTAGGAAACACCCGATTAGGGTAAGAGCGTTATAACCGAAATTCACAACAACAAATTAATGAACAGAGACAGTTGCGTGTAGTGGAGTTGGGAATGAGTTTGGATGTTTTATAGCCCTTTGGGTGTTAGAAATCCCTACAACGCATTTGGCGTGGGTCACTCCTCCGATTGGGTGGGGCCCATCAGCATGGTTTCATCCACATTCATGCCGATGCAAATCTGCCAGCAATGGAGGGACAGATGAAGATGGCGAACGAACTAGCCCGTAATTTTCTGCGGCGCCGTTAACCCTTCTATTTGTTAACACATGTCTGTAGACTGTGGTTTCGCCTCGATCCACTCCTAGAGGCCTGTTTGGAGTCTCCTCTGGCCACCGTGTCAAAGGATAGGTTTTCGATTCAGGTTTTGGTCACCGGGTGCAGGTTTGATTTTTAATGCGTGTGTTTGTTGCGGTTGGGATTGACCAAGAGCTCATGAGTGCATCTCAAGGTAAGTTCACTAGAATGACACCTCAAGGGTCTGGAAACTCGCGATCGTTTTTTAGGGTTTTGTGGCGTGCTGTGCGATGAGTATTTTTGTATTCCCGGCCGAGCTATTCATTTTTTGGGTCGCAGCGGCGCCCCGCTCACCATGTATCGAGACTGTTTCGTATTGTTTCTTCGACGGGAATGATGGACATATGTTTTCATGGGATTTTAGAAGGCGCATGTCCTGTCTAATGATGCTGATCAAGTAGTTCGGTGCAGTGTTTGTAATTGCGAGATTGATATCGTGGCTGCTCCGCCTTTGCAACACCTAATTTCGGAACAGCTTCATTTCTGTGAGACGATTGGCATCATTTCAGATGTTGCTGAAGGCGCTTATTGTTTTTATGGAAGTAACGGCAGTGGAGAATAAGGCAAAATGAGATCTGGCAGTCAGTGGAAGCATTTGGGCCAGCTTGGCCGGGCTTTCACGGTCAACCACTTTCATCCTGTAAGATACAAAGAGAACCTGATTAAATCGACTTTTTTTTCATGGAGCAAGACCGTGGAACAATTATGGAAATCGAACACAATACTCCTGTCGGGGTTAGACCTAGGAAACAGACACATTGCTGAAGACGCACATCTGAGCTCCCGAGGAGGCCATGGTAGGCGCTTCCGCTGTACATCCTGTCATGAGTTTGTGGGTCAATCACCTGTTCCCACTTCAAAATCCGGTTACACTGGTCCCATTTCCAGAAAGTATTGCCCTCTCAACCTTAGCCAGTACGGAAGGCTAGGGTTTAAGCTCACGCCGGCTCGGACGCAAGTTTCAAGTGCAGCCAGCAGCGAACCTGATTATTGGGATACGTCTGATTCAACGATCGCTTCTGAGCTAAGTCACGAAAGTTCGTTGGTAGATCAAAACAGGGTACTGCGAGAAAGAGAATGGGACCATGATGATGACGAAGGACAGAAAGTTCGAAAAGACTTCGATGGTATGAAGATGTCGAGTGATGTCGACGGCGACGAGTGGGGGCAAGAGCATTTGGGCGTACACGAGGATGAGACGCGTCAGCGGGCAAGCCATTCTACCAATTCACCTCCTAAATTTCACCACGACGATGTCTACATACCTGTGAAAGCTTGCTACATTTCGCGAAGGTGGGTTCCTTTATTTGAATCACTCGATATCTTAGTTCGCAGTATTTTATATCAGTTTTCGCTAACCCTCTGCATTCAAGAGTGTTCCGTGGTATTTGTTGTTGTTGTTGTTTGCTCTATTACTTAAGCATTTGTGAATCTGAATGACAACTAACTTTTCTGTAACCTTGTTCTGAACGCCTGCACAGCTATGTAGTGTGTTGTGAACTGGTGAGTGCGCCTTTGTTGATGAAGTGTGAATGTTGGAGTGGGAATGCAGCATGGATCTGAAGCGGCTGTCGGAGGAGCCCTTCTTGGAGATCACCCCTTCGCGCAACAATATCATCATTCGATTTACCAACCGGCCTGCTGATGCTAAGCCTACCTCAAACAGACCTGTACAGTTCTCTATCTTGTATCTCCTTACATCCCTCACTTTGTTTTTCATAGCGCATCCTGGAGTGAATATTGTATTTTATGCTGAGGAGATACAGCGGGTCGCGCTCATTACCTCAACCCAATGATTGAATAGAGTGGTTAAATATTTGTAGTATTTAATGACAGGGATTTGCAGAAATAAGCCGCTCTCAGGAAAGATATATGGTCGCATTTCAATATGGATCTATTGTATTCTTCAACTTCGGTGATGACGAAGAAGAGGAAGCCTTGGCTGCCGTGCGCAAGTTTTGCACAGATGAATTCCGGGAGACAAGGAAAGATGGTACATGCCATGCCCTTTATTTCTTTCATATTATCTCTTGTGATTCATTTGGTTACTACGAGTTAACCACTTGTAGCCAGTTATGTTTGGATGGTTGAAAATCACATTGCTTCTAAGGCAAGGATATTTAATCATGAAAAAAAAATCAACCCGCTACTCTGTTGGTAATAATATGATTTCATTTATTCTGTCTAAGGTAGCACTTGTCTTAATACGGACGATGATAATGTTAACTGGTGAAACACGGGTTCGTCTCCTTCGCAGATTACGGGGTGCTGGTGCGGCCAACCCTACGTCAGTGGAGCGAGGGAGGACAGGATCGAATAATGTTGCGAATGCTTGACACAGACAACATCCGAGTTATTTCCAGCATCCTTGGTCAAAGTATTGCCCTTGACCACTACGCCAAGAAGGTTCTTGTGCCACCCGTGGCTCCTGTTCTCTTGTTTTTTCTTGTTTGTTTTTGTTTTTTTGGTATTAGCTGTTAATCTTTTTATTCAGTAGTTGACACTTTTATAACATGGTTGTGGTTGCACACAAGCAAGTACCGTTACCAGGTTAAACCTGCTCAGAGAATCACATTGTGGGATTACTTGTTGAATAATAGAATGATATACATAAATGATGCAGGTGGATGAGATGGTGAATACTTTTAGCGAGTTAAATCGAGGAATGGAGAAGACCGGTACTTTCACGATGACTAGGAAAAGCCTCTTTCAGCTAGTGGCGGCCGCCAACACCACCCTTGCCGACGTTATTCTCCGCCTTGGCCTTCTAGAGAGGTCTGTGTTCTCTGCTTACGTTCTTCTCTACCAGTTCTCCCAGTGTCTTTCTATGATGTAGCACTATGAAGCAATGTCTTTCTCCCTTGGCTTTACACTTGATGATTATTTTCAGGCAGATTGAGATTGTTGCTAGGTTGATTGGTGGTTTAGGCTGTTCCGGTGGTTGCTGATCGTAGTTTGGTTTGCAATTTGTTACGACAGGTCAGATGCTGCATGGAAGGATGCAAATTATGCTCAGATTTGGGAGTACTTGCGAGACGATTTTGAGCTTGATGAGCGGTTCGAGAGTTTAGACTTTAAGCTTAATATTATACAGGTGCTTTATTGATAGGGCTCTTAATAAGAGCTTCTCTATGCTTATGTGTGTTGCATCAATACTTCCTGAGGTGATGGTGGTTTCTTTGGTGGCATTGGGGTCCGTTATCTCTATTCTAGAAGTGAGTTGAGTAATGTTACAGCGTATTATACTCCTGAATTGTTAATTGATGATTACGTTTGCTTGTTTTGTGCAGCACAACGTGCGATTCTTTTTGGAGATTCTACAGAATAGGAAGTCAGATACGCTGGAGTGGATCATTATCCTTCTTATTACAGGAGAGATATGTGTTGGTGTATACCAGATTCTTTTGGAGACCAACGTCATCTAGAGCCCATACATGAAGCTTTGCCCGAGGATAGTTCGTCATACATGGGCAAGAATTCAAATTTCATAGCTTTTTAAAATCTGCAGGTAGCTCGCTGATAGTCTACTTTGGAGCGATCAATTTTGTAAATGTATACTATCATTATTTGCAAGGTTTTTTCATTTAAATAATTTAGAAGCTCCTCAACAGTATTTTTGCACTCTATTTTAGCATGTGGTTACGTTTCCATTGCTCAGATCAACTGCTCTTTTAAGATTTCGTATCGTAGTTCACGTTTCATATACTAAGTGGCTTTACTGTGAATTTGGTAGTGGTCTTCCTCACGTTTTAGTTTTCGAATTTCCTGGTCTTTAAGCATTAATTTTCATATTGTCGCCAACTGAGGATCGATTTGAAGATGCTGCATGGCGATTTGGACCTCACTGGAATCGATACTATTGCAACTGTGGAATTTAACAGCAAGACCACAAATACACGAAGGAATCGACTTGTTCCGGAGTTGCAGTGGTGGAGCCCTAACAGGGGGGGGATATCATTGTTTCCATAGCCCTTTTACTTCAACTCCGCTGTGAACTCTGGTTTCCGCGTCCATCTTCACAGAATTAGCTGCCTTAACACTTCAATGATACCCAGGACTGCGAGCGACCGATCATGGCAACCTACACCAGTGCGCAAGTTGATGTGATTGCGGAGGTCGTAGCTGGCGCAGAGGCCTCATGGCTAATTTCAATGCTCTGTTGCACGAGATCTACATCCTGTGAATACATTGTAGGAAGAGGGTAGTTAACAAGCTCTCCGGATTCTTCTGAAACTGTCTGTCTGTCGGTCTTATCGACATGTTATGACAGAGGGGGAATATATGACGTTGCATGTGTTTGATGTGTAGAATCCCTGGCTTATATCTATCAAGAATTAGGGTGGCAAGTTGGAGAAACGTTTGAGGGATCCTTGTCTATATCCGGATTGTTACCGTAAGGATTAAATTTGGGTTTCTGACGAGAGATTGATGTCCTGTGCACTAAATACGCCAGGAACTTGGAGTTACGCGTCTGCTGGAAATTTGATTCGTGCATATGCTGAAAAGAATGCTTTGAGCCTTGATCTAGGCGACGTAAAAAAAAACTTCCGTTGGCGCACAATGGGGTGCTTGTGTTACCGGTAGTCACCTATTGTGAAAGCGTAGGTTTAATCAATGCCTCCGGAAGCGTCCAAAAGCCGAACAATGAAATCCTCTAGGTCTTATTATGATCCGTGTTTTTGAATTTCAAAATGTTTTATTTGCACTGGAAACTTGCAAAAAACCCACCGTCCCAAGTGCGATGCATAGTTCTTAATGTTTACTGGGTGGTTGGACAAGGTGTTACACCGTTACTCCCGACTCGCATCCCGCGTTTCTGTGAGATGAGTGGCTCAAATTCAGCACCCAAATCTAGTTGACTGCATATTTGAAGCGTTGTATAATTATTATTATTGTCATTTGTACGTACAGACGTTTGTGTGACACAATTTGGAGAGACAATGATTTACACGCTGAAGCTTTCAAACCTTAGGAAACTTCTCCAAGAGAGAACAGGTTGTTGAATTACTCAATTACGTTGTATATATATGATGATCTCGAAAGTACAGAAGGCTTCACGTTAGGATGAAACAGTGGCAATCTTCCGATCAACAGTTGGTACGTTGCAAGCCCCTCCTCTCCACGACCAATATCCAAGTCAGTCGTGCATGATGAATGCACAGGGAGGGGTGTAGATTATCTTTGAACGTCCTCTTCGATTCCCCGTGTCTATCTTCCGTTCTTCAATCATAAACGGAATCTTGTTACTAGCCAAGGAGGGGTAGAATTGCGCACACAGTTGTCACTGGACATAGCAATTAGGCTTTATTTTTTCCGGATATACAATCAATGCAGTCAAATTTGTTGGTCAAGTAAATCCCCGAGGGTGCGTCTTTGCTCTGAAGGTTCTAGTAGGTGAACCACAGGTGAACATATTTCTTTGATACAAGGATTGTTCACAAAATAATGCTCCATCTCACGGCTTTTCGAGTTTGGGTGATGCATTTAATCTCAGCAACAAGTATATGAGCCATACACAGGTGAAGTTTGATTTACAATGACATGTTCTGCGCAGGTTTTTCGTTCATTTGCAGGACCTGAGCAAGCAAGTTCTGGAGTAAGATGCTGCAACAACCAAGGTGCCCTTCTTGCTGCTTTGAAAAACTAGTTTTGGCATGTGGTTCCAGGTTTGTACATGTCACCTACTGATGTGATTATTGGTTTCTGGAATGACCAATCGACCCCCACTTTAATTCAAACAAAAGGATGACGTGAAAATGTGCATCGAGCTTTTCACGACTCAGAATCTAATCTACTCATTCTTTTCGATTTCATTCGCAGTGGCAATGAACGGTCGACTGAAGTCCAATTTTGAAAGGAATGCGTTGTTTCTCATTCATGCTGGTGCCAGACTTGAGTCTTTGGAGCCTTGATCTAAACATGGGACACTCTCTACGGTTAGTCTTTTTCTACCAAAGTCACACCTATATCAGTCATGTAATTTTTGGTAGTTTTTCTGTCGATTGTCATTCTTTGGCTTGGAATCCAGACTCTGGAAAAATGAACGTTAATAAAGCCTGAGGATTCCTCGCATGTAATCTGGGAAGTCTGACAGTTATTCGTCAGACAGGTTTATTTCTGCTATGGTGTACAGTATATCTTATCGAGTTTGTAGAGAATATCGTTCAAGTTTGTTGTCTGCCACTTTTCTTTTCTTTTTCCAGGATAAATATTATTCGAAATTTCAAGTGACTTTTACTTCTGTTGTAGCTTTTGTCTCTGCATGTACAGTGAACAGGCTCTCTGCATGTAGGACTTACACAGCAGGTATTCTACTCTTCAAATTGAGCTATGACAGGTTAAAGGGATATCAGCGAGGGCAGCAGCATATCTGTACGCTTTACAAAAAGAGCGCAGAGTTAAGTAATTAGTTTCTAGATTTTGTGCAACATATGGATAATAAGTTAGATCTATGTGCATCTATCCAGATATCCTAGAATAGAGTCCGACTTCGGAAAGCCGCTTACGTATACTCAGTGTTACACCATTGCGTTAATGTGCAGAAAGTGCATACTCAAATGGTTTTTTTCCTTTTCCTCCGAAGCTGAATGCATGTGGCGACAGAGGGCAAGCCTTCACGTTTGTGGTAGACGATCCTTGAAGGCAACAGGTACATTGACAACCCGTATTTACACATTCCCCAATCTTTTCACACACCGACTAGTTCGTTTTCATTGCTGACTCACGATCTACATATCGGGTATAGATCTTATGGGAATGCTGATGTGATTCTTTTTTATTTTATGGGGAACACTTTCTTACGCTTGTTTGTGTGGGCCTCGTAAGGTCAAGCTGAGTGAGAATCACAACTATATCTCCTTGACTTGGATTAGCAACCATCAATGACCTAATTAGGGTTTTCAACCTTACATGCAAAAATGTACTGGGTTCGGACCCCCTTGACGTCAACTTCGTCCTGTGATCGCACTCCAGAACGGCAACCATAATTGGGTTTTCTTGGTCGGGCAGTGCATCCGACCGAGAACCATGAATCGTATACTTTTTGCTGCAGGCTAAGGCTGTAGGGACCAATGCAGCACCTTGTCCAGTAGCACATGTGAAGTATACTTCGGCAGGCTCAACAAGGATTCACCTAAAATGGCTTGATGGGTCATTCAAGATTTCACCACCCAATTGCTCATAGGAATTTTTACAGCGAAAAAAGATGGCAGCTGCAACATTCAACCACTCGGCACCTGAGGACGTTAGTGTTGATACTCTTATATCTTCTGTTGTTTCTCTCAACTCTGCATGTAATTCCCCCATTGCAAGCTTCGAAGCTCTGTAATTTACATTCCTGGGGAGATTGTCTTATCCACGCAATTTTTTAGCACTCTAGCAAAGCTTTTTGTTCGCTTCTCGCACGCCATTTCCATCATCTTGTGGCATTCTAGGGTTGGGGCGGAGATTCTGATGCTCGATTGGGGCTTTTTTTTGTCTGCTCTGTATCTTAATTTGGAACTTAGCAGTGAACCTCATTGATCATTCATGGTGTGAACTACAGCCTTTTCGAAGGCAATGATAAATTTCTTTGTGTATTTGGTTGATTTTTTTAATTTTAAAATTCGCTTTTTGGGTTCTTTGTGTGACTATTGAATCCTTTTTTATCTTTTTTTCTTAAGTTTTTGAAATCTTCAATTTTCTTTATCTTCTGCTTATATTATTTACTTTATTCTTTTACGGTTATTGTCGAAGCAACTACTTGTGATGCACGTGTGCATCCACATTTTGAGCAAACACATATTTTAAAACTAACATTTGGAATATTACAATCAAATTGTATATATTAAATGTGACTTTAATTACATTAAGCCATCAAAGTAATTGTAAAAAAATATACAATATACATGAGATAAGCTTTTTGACTAAAAAAATTGTACGATTGATAGTTCTCGAATAAAAAATAAAGTAAAATAATTAGAATACTGTGATTTTAAATTGTAAAGAGTAATATATATATATATATATATATATATATATAGTCTCATTTTAAAGGCAATCTTATTCTGTTTTGAGTAATTATTTCAATATTACTATTAAGAACATAAAATTTATTCAATCTATAAAAATTAAATTTAAACTAGTAGTTAGTAGAATTTTACAAGGATATTGCATTTTAATGAAAAAATTGATATATGTATATATGTATATAATTATACATACATACACTCATTTATTCATTATTCATTTTGTATCAATTTCGTTTTATATAAATATCATAACTTTTTTTTAAAATAAATCATAATTTTAAAAATTGAATACGTGTAAGAAGGACTATTTAAATTTATAAAATGCATATCAATAGATTTTTTATTTTCTTTATTAAATAAATAATATATTGGTTTTCAAAGCAATGAGATTATACAGCTATTGTAAATGCGTTTTGTGGGTGATTTTAGCATGTCTTTTGACCCCTAAAATGTTACTGCTTGCATTAAAAAAAAAATGGGAAGTATTTGATAAGAGATATTTTTGGTGACTGAAAAATACAATCTTTCTGTGCGTATTTCTCAAACAAGCTGAGAACTATTACGTGAAAGCATAAATTTTTTATTGACAGTAAATTGTAGAAGAATAATTATACGAAATACAATTATCTTACATAATGTAATAGACCTATTCCAAGATCTTGGACTTTGAAGTTGGAAATTGTACTCAAAGTAAAATAAAATGTTCATGAATACTAAATATTAGAAATGTTTTATGCAATTGACAATGATTGGTAAAATTGGGATTTAAATTCAAAACTAGAATTCTAATTTCATTCTATGTTTGCAGTTGATGGTCAAATAAAATTAGTTAATAACCATAGAAAATGTCAAAAAATAACAACTTAAGATTCTCACTTTTAAGTATATTTTTATTTTAGTTTGTATATGTAACTATGAATAACATTTCTATACACACACACCCACACACACACACACACATATATATATATATATATATATATTTATATACAACCATAGCTGAAGTAAAAAAGTGATTTCATAACTCAGGCAATTGTTGTTATTAAAATATATTATCTTTGCAATAAAAGCTGAGAAATTTCATTGGAATCTATTGACAACCTATTACAAAATACACATGGGGTATTTAGATGATAATCACAACAATGAAATAAGTAATTCTAGTTAAAAGAAACAAAGATGTATGTGAACATTACGAATGAAATAAGTAATACATTACGAAAATGTGTACGTAGACATTCATTTACTTACTTATTTAATTATTCACGATGCATATCTGCATAAAATTTCACTTGCACAAACCCAATTGGATGAAGTAAATCCCTGATTTCCTCGTTGCTGGAACCTCTGGCCTTTTCTTGAACAGTGTTGCATATCACAAATTGTACTATCAAAGCCTTTTAATTGATTATGCTTTCTTTCTTCTTCTTTTTCTTTGTGCCTTATTTTTCCATTGTTGTAGGTGTGTGACCAATGGTCAAACCCATGACAGCTTTCCAACAAGGAATTTGAATAAGAAGAATAAGCAAAAGAGAATATTATGCTGCGTGGTCTCCGCAGAGAGCAACAATTAGAAGGTGCAGGCCTCTGCTCACAATGCCCACACATGCACATGGAGCCTTGCATTATTATTATGAAAGGAAAACATTAAAATTTATAAATAAAAATGAATAAAAATTAAATGGAGGAAGTTTATCAAACTCCCTCACGTACCCAGTAGACAAGGCAGAGGGAATCATCATCTTCTGCATCCTTACACAACTTTGACCAACATGAACTTCAAAATAAAAAAAAGAAATCTACATGTATATATACATATGTGAATAAATAAATAATAACAATAATAATAATAATAAACAAAAATATGTTTGGGCGTTGCAGAAATCACAGAGTCATACTTGAATTATTTCCAGTCAAACAAGAGCTTCAATAATCTACATGAAAATTTGAAACCCAAAAGGCTGGTGATCAGGGTACTTGGATTCCTTTTGCCTTTTATTGCATGGGGAAGAGCGTCAAACAACCTCGTGTATCACCACTGCAGAAGATTTCATTTTAGGCCAGAGAGACACCCCCTCCCTGCTGCTGCACAATAAGGCTTATGAAATATTTAAATAAATAATGTGCTCAGAGCTTGTTGGCCCTTTTTTGTGCCTCTCTCCCTTTCATTATTCATTTGTGATAAGGTGCAGGACTCTTGGGGTGGAGGGGGGGCTTGATAACATTATGAAATCATGGAGTCCACATATATATATGCATTATATATATATATATATATACATATATATACATACATATTCTCTGCCACCCAGTTCACTGGTCTTCTGAAGCCTGACTGACTGTTCTTTCTATTCTCTGCTTTGGAGCTGAATCCTTTCTTCTTCTGTTATATTTTCAAAGACGTCCCTTATTTTGCAGTCAACAAGGAGCTCAGATGATGGTCAGGTTTGTGGGAGGAGGAGGAGGAGGTCTGACAACAACAACAATAACAAAAATAAATAAATAAATAAATAAATAAAAATACCTGATCCGCTAGCTGGTGCTTACACTGCACTTGTTCAATTTGTCATTCTTTCTTGTGTTTGAATTCGTGTTCTGTTTTTTTATGTCATTTAAAAGGGAGTATGTTAGCACTATATGAATATCCTCTGGTACTTTTTCTCATTTTTGCATTTAATGAAGACTGATCCAAGCAGAGAAAAAACTATACCCTGCAGTTATTGAACACACATCACAGAGATTTGACTTTCTTTTAATAGAATAGTATATATGCGTGTGTGTGTGTGAGTGTCTTTGTGTGTATATATATATATATATATATATCTACACACATTCACAGACACACACACATATACCCATACCCTCCTTGTAAGGTCAGAGGAGCATAAGCATTTCTATCTACATTTCAAACTCCCTCTGAATTCAAGTAAGGTCCCCTGAATTACTACCCAGTTGTCAAAATCAGAATGTTCAACAAATTAATTGTCAACAATCTCTCCTTACAGTATGTGTGTGTAGATATATATATATATATATATATATATATACACACACACCCACACATACACATAATTGCATGGTTATACATACAGTTTGGAGCATGACAAAAGGGCTTCCATGATCAGGAGAAAGGAAGATTAAAAATTCTTCTTCTTCCACTGCAGAAATGCTGGCAGAGGGTCTTATTCTGCTGGAATAACAGCCCTTCTAACAGCAGAGAGGTAGGTAGGTAGGTACCCAGAGAGGAGCATGACACCAACCAATGCTTTAGTGAAGTGAGTACCCTGGAACAAAGAAAGAAATGATGGAAAGCATGAGGTGTGGTGCCCCATTTAGAAAGTCAACTTCACCACCATAAGTGTATATATATATATATAGCCAACAGGTGTGTGTCTCTGTGTGTGTGCAAATATCAATATTTATTTACATATAAATATATACAAACATCAATCTATCAGCCTTTTTTTATTATAATAGTAGTAGTGATAATACAGAAGGAAAAACTTTGTTGGTTGCATGTGCAAATTGGATGGATTTCAGACTGATTGATTTCTCTGTGGAATGGGATTCAGCAATAAGTTTTAGAGAGACTCTGCAGCTGCTTTATTCACTTGTTTTTCTTGTCATACTGTCCTTGTTTGATTTTGAAAACCTTTGTGTGAGACTCATCACAGAAATGAAACCTTTCTTTTTCTCTCTCTATGAATTGTTTATTTATTTATCTTCCTCCATTTTTCGTCCTTTTTTCCTTTTGATGGCAGAGGGGTATTTGTGTGTGTATTTATTCCAGTATGATACCTGGATTGAAAGCTGTCTGTGTATTTGCAGAATGTGACACCAGCTTTGTCATACCCAATCTCAATCCATGCATCTTCTCACCTTCCCAAACTTCATACCATCAAATGCTCAGATTTTCTGCACTTTTTATGCTAGAAACTAATATCAACACTTCTTGATATCAGCTTCAAACAGTTTCAAACTGGTCAGCAATCACACTGAAAAAACACTGCAAAAAAAACACTTGTAGATCTCCCAACACACACACACACACACACACAGTCCACATGCATTACCAAAATGGCATCAAGAAGCAAGTCAATTCTGCTCAACCAAAAACTGCCAAACTGCACAGAAGAAAGGAATGGGATTCAATCCAAAATTCCTGCTGCCAAGCCAATCAAAGATTTGATGCAGTCAGATTCACTCAATCACAATGATTCATTAATTGGTTTCTCACCTTCTTTTTTTCTTTTTTCTTTTTTTTACTTTTGCTTCTTTTTTATACTTTGGGGGTGATTAGTTGATTTATTCAACCCAGGGTTTAGTTGACTCCATGTCCTTATGGGGTGGTGGTGGTAGTGGTGCCTGCAACCCTCTTAATAGGGAGGTATTTGATAGTGCCCTGGCAGGGATAGAACTGGGGAAGAGGGCTACATCAACTCCACCAGGGGACTGATCAATAATATATCTTTCACAGATGGGATCGTTGCTGGAAGGGGAGCACATGAGAGCAGCAGGCAGGCAGGCAGGCAGACAGACAGACAGATAGACAGACAGGGAGGGAGTGAGCGAGGGGCCCCGCACATTGCCATGCAATTTTAGAGAGACAGCCCCCCCCCTCCCCTGCCAGCAGAACCTGATGGCTCTGAATGCCACACACGCCCCACCCCCCATTCTAGTTGAGAGCTCTCTGTCCATTCACATTCATCTCTGGCACAACCCTAACCCTAACCCTAAACCCCCAGCCTGTCCTCCCTCAAGACCAGAAAATAACCAACTGGGTGAGAGACATTCACATGTGAGTGCTGCATCACTCATTTGCAATGTGTATGACCCCCTCTTTTTGCAAGCTTGTTACAGAGCTGCTGCAATGACTGCGTTCTAGGGAGTGAGTGCTCTTGTTGTCTTAAGGAGGAAGTGGGGGTTCTCAAAAGAGTGCAAGTCATTGTCTAAGGGGGTTAATAGAGCTCTGCCAGGGGAAGAAGGAGGAGTGGGCAAGCACTATTCTCTCATTGATAGGAACATGGAGCCAGTGGTACTTACTCTGACTCCCCCCCCTCCCCATTGTGCATGATTTTGGAGCCCTTGTAATCCATGAAGGCACTTTGTTTTTCTTATTTTAATGAAGTGAAAAAATACCTCCTTTCCCTTGGTCATGGATGTGACTAGATACCCCATTCCATGTTGTCTTTAAACTCTCTTTTTTCAGTGTGTGTGTGTGTTTATTGTAATGTTTGTTATTTGTATTCAAATCTAGACATTTATTAACAAGGCACCACAGAGCAAGGGGAAGGGGTGTTTGTCCAGTCAAAACAACCCTTCATTCATGCAGTAATGATTGTGGAGAGTTAATTTTTTTTTTCATTTTAAAATGCTCTCTCAATGCCCCTCACTGCCAATGGATAAAAGCCTCTAGTGCCAATCCACAAATGCATGCTTGATTCTGACTCTTTACACAGACATTGAAAAGAACAAGAGAGAGAGAATGAGAGAAGCTTTCAGACATTTCCACAAAAGTTGATATTACTTAGAAGGATCAACATTACATATCTTCTTCTGTTTTTTAATGAGTGAACCCAACATCTGCAAACCTACCTGTGTACTAAATAAGTTGACAATTAACCTCAATCTTGATTACAAGTATAAGTTCAAAACCATGAGAATCACTCACATTTACTTTTGTCATTCTTTATTTTGTTTGAATGTAATACTTTTTTTTCTTCTGATGTTGGTGTCTCATATTGTATTGTTGATTACTGCATTATCCAATAGCCTCATTACCCATTTTTGGTGCACATACAGAAAGCCTGCATATATATATATATGTATATATATATGCATGATAAAATTAAATCTGTTCAGGGGTGGGTACAGGGGGTCCACATGGGCCAAGGAGCCCCTTAAAACATGGTTCTGGATTCTCATGGGATAAAGCAAATTAGCTTACAAGTCACCAGGGGTGTTGGCATAGTACTTGAGCCCTTGGCTAGATTTCCAATTGGGCTCTGAGAATGAGTTTAATTGTGGAGTACAGATCAAGGCTGTTTCCAGCAGTTGTTGGTGTGTTCCCAGAGGTACACAAAATAATAAGTTCCCTCTCCATTATTGTTCTGCTGCTGTGCGCATAATAGAGTATATATGTGCTATGTATTTGTTTTGGTGATGTTAAGTAAAGAAGAAAAAATAAATGATAAAATAATCTGATAAACAATTTGATGAATAAAAGAGAAAGAGACAGTCCTGTTGCAGTCTGAGTTCACATGGATCCAATAACACATAAATTTCATTGTCTCAAATGTTGCGGTTTTATCAGATTGCAAACCAATACTTTTCAAGAATAATGAAATCCAATTATCATGTAGAAGAATTGAGTTCATCTTTCAAATCACAACATTTTTTTATTTTCTATTTTTTTTCTACTATAAGAATTTCTTTCTTTCTTTTTTTCGTTTTTTGATACCAAGTTGTATGAAGAGCACCACGCACAAAATCTGCAACACAATCTTGAAATGATAAGATTTCAAGGTATTACCATGCTGTTTTACCTATTTCAAATGCAACCCATGGATGTTTCAATTCATCATAGCAATTCAATCCACAGCACATTGTAAAGTCTTCATGCGTTTAACACCTTGATTTTCTTTTAACAAAACTAACTTAAAACCACAATCTGCAGCTCCTTCACTCACGTATGAATGTTATGAATTTGGAAATTGTTATTCATGCTCTTAAGATTGATTGACGCCGAGTTGTTGGCAATAATGGAGGGTTAGCGGACACAGCTGAAATGAGGGGCATCGGATGATTGAGAAGCAGAGAAGCACCCTGGGATTGGTGGACATGCAAGGGAACATTCCTCATCAATACGTCAGCGCAAAGGCCAACGCGAGCAAGGGATATGGACGAAGACGACGACGACGACGACGCGGCGCTTCTGTTGCGCGTCGCGCAGAGCTCCCACACAGAACTACCGGTGGGTACACGATACCATCTCCCATCAAGCGCGAAAGGAGGGAGAACCCTCAAAGCAACAACAATGCCTGCGCGTACCCACCAGCAGCAGCCGCGACAGTCGAATCGCCATCCCCACAACGGGAAGAAGAGCAGAGGAGGAGGCTCTGGCAGATCCGCATTCGCCCGGAACGTCGTCTCACGACGTGCCCAGACAGACCCATTGCCAGATCTACAACCAACAATGAAACTCGACCTAATCTCCTACCTCCCTCCTCCTGCTCCTCCGCGAGATGGTGTCGATGTCCAGCTGGGCGAGCGATGTGCGCGACGATTGCGACAGAGCAGCAGGCAGGGGGAATCTGGTATCACGAGACCCTGACCCACAATCAGTGCGCGATTGAATCGTGAGTGATTGAGTGAAAGATCGATTCTTTCTTTTCCCCTGTTGAGGGCGGATTCGTCGAGGTTGGTTTGGTTGGACTCATCATCCCCACATGAATGCAGAGCCAGGAGGATTCAAACCTCGTCTTGGATGTTATGAAACACGGAGCCAATGCCGAACGAGGCTTGTGTCGTGGAGGAGGAGCCCCATTCTGGAGTCTCTGGAGACATAGATATATATATATATATATGATTATTATTATTATATAACAGGTATGTTTCTCAATACTAATATTTAAATATATTCTTTAAATATTTAAATATTTAGAGTTGATTCTTTATATGGAATTAACTTTATAATTATGTAAAATTAAATATCTTTAAAATTTTTTCGTTGTTTTTTCCAATTGCAAGAATCTTTGTTTTTGTGTAAAAAAATATATCTTTAGCTCAATGCATATCACTTTTGTGTAATTTTGTTGCTTTTCTCTATGTATGTATGTCTCTCTATATATATATATATATATATATATATATATACATCAATTAATGTAAACATCATATTATGTTAATATGTTCTACACTTTATATATGGATTTAGAGAGTTTGAATTATGTGTATATTATAATCTTAGCCATAATTTGTTCTACCCAATTTTAATTTGTATATTTAATGCCCTTTATAAGATTGCAGTAATATATATATGTAAATATGTATATATGTAAATTTAGAAAAATATTTACGAAAAAGTGTTAGAATCAATTGGTTGTATTGCACTGAATTTCCACTTTGGATTATAGTATTTTCATCTTAAAAAGAAAAGTTGCTCTAAATTCTTTCTCTTGGCTTTGAAGCATATTTACTATCATAGTTTGATTTCTAATAGGGCTTAAATATTCTCTCTATCTCTATATACTTTAATTAATTTTAATTGCACTTTTTACATGTATACATATATATAAAGAAACCTTATTAAATTGGTGCTTATCACAAGAGGAATAATAGATGAGATTGCATCATGCAAAATCTCAACTTTAATTCAAAATTTGAATAATTTATAGATTTCATTTATCATTATTCAAAAAACGATGTTACAATTGTAATGTGAATATTCCATTTATCTATTATTTTTCTAATAATAACATATGAGTAATGGCTCATGCATGTATCATCCTTGCACAATTTTTATCTTACAGAACACACATGATAATAATTTTCTACTAAACAAGTAGTTTGTTTAAACTGTATAAACCACAAAATACATAACATAAAACACAGTAATTTACATAACATTTTTTTACTTTAAAAATGATTACGAATCATGCCAAAAGATGAAAAATGATCCTTATTCATTAAGTATGGTAAAATAAAAAAGGGAATGAAGTCAGGAAATTGTTCATGTTAAGCTTGTGAAGCAATGGTACCAACAACCACTCACTCACTACTCCACCATCCACATGATTTAACCTTTTTCTTTTCCTCTTTCTATTCTATGTTAAATTCCAGAGATAACTGCTATGGTTGCACCCAAGGCAACAACAACAACAACAACAACAACAGCAACAACCCAAGTCATTAGAATTTGTAAATAAAAAAAACTTCCCCATTGGCTCTGTTTCCAAAACATGCTTCTGGCTCAAAGCTTTGAATGAATGCATCATTCATTGATTCTCTTCACATAAGAAAGCATTATGGTAGAGACATGCACCTGGGTTACAATACCCAAGGGAAGCACTGTGTAAGAGGTATGGGTGATTCTCCTTCATGGATGAATGATATGCTGTCAGTGGCACAATTTGGATGAATGATATTGGAAACAAAGTTAGTAGGAAAGATTATATAAGTGAAGCCAACTGGAGCCCTACTCTCGTCATGGCTGTAATGTTGTATGATTGATAAGTGGGGGAGGGGGGGCAGGAGAGAGAGGGTGCCCATTCCGCCTGAAATTGTCACTCCCCCCCCTCTCCATTGTGGCAGAAATGGGCACTTCTTCTTCATAAGCCGGAGGATGTGATGCCGACTTCTTCTTCTTCTACATCTCCCGTCCCCGTCCTCGTCCTTGTTGATTAACTAGGCCAAGGATTGTGCTTAAGCAGTAGGGGTTTAGAACACAATTTGATGTGGTGGACAAGGTAGCTTACAACAAGACTTGGACAGGTGGGGGAGGAGGAGGAATCATAAGGTTTTATTATTATGTTATTATTATTATGATGATGCATGCAACAGCAGCTGCTACTGTCCTTATTATTATGAGCACCCCTCTTCACTAGACTACCACCCACTCTGGCCCTTCTTTGCTGGGCTTTTGGACCTCTCTCCCAAGTTTGCAACTCTTTCTTGTATGTGTTTATGTCCTTTTTCAAAACTTATTTATTTATTTATTTATCCTTGATATATATATATATATATATATATATGTTGTTGGAATGCCATTAATTGTCAACTGAAGGTTTTTCAGCCATCTTGGGGGGTTTCTTTTTTGAATCACAGGCTAAACCATCTGTAATCACAGGCTAAACCACCACCTCCATCACACAAAACCACTGCCTTTGTAGTTGTTAAATTTGCCGATCATTGGTGGGCTTGGAATCCATTTGAAATCTTTTTACAATGTATTCCAACATTATGAAGCTCATGAAGCTCAACTCATGAAGCTCAAAGTGGGTTTTATTTTTCTCCATGATTGGATATACTGTAGTTGAGTGTTATGCCCCCAAAATGATGGGTACACTATTCCCATTAGATTTTTTTGTTTTTTTGCTTTTTTTTCCTTCCTCTTCTTTCTTCCAATGAAACTATGATGAATAGGGTTATGAGAGAAAGTGGGAATGTGGGTGAGGAGGAGAGGCCACCAACCAAGCAGTGGTGGTCATTGTTGTTGATGGGTGTTCTTTCTTCTTCTTCTTCTTTGAGGGAGTTGAAGTAGAAGTACCACTATCAAGGTTGGCCGAGAAACAAACTCTCAAGTGTGGCAAGATTATTAGCATTGCCCATACATATGAGTACACACACCACCATTGTAAGAAAGAATTGTCACCAACCATGCCAAGTAGAATGGGGGAAAAAAATAAAATAAAAAAAATAAAAAATAAAAAATAAAAACAGATGATGAGAAGTCCTTTTCTTTTATCCTTTCTGGTGAGATGCAATAGATTGGTTCCACAAGAGAGTGAGGACGTACAAAACCCATTCATAAGTAACACCATCTGGTTCTCTACATCCACAAGATGTAATCTCCCCACCTTTTTCTTTTTCTTTTTCTTTTTGGGTACATGGAATGTTAGAGTGTGATGTGATGTACCCAACAAAAAAAGAAAAAAAAAACATGCTTTGAAACCCCCCCCCTCCCCCTCCCACACACACCCTTGAACCCTAAATCTCAACAATAATCAGGCTATGAATTAACTAATTAAGTGATCTCTCAAATGAAGATATGAAAAACACTAAGATAGAAATCCATAATACAGTGAAGAAGAGATCTATTATGGGAACATGATGCAAAGGGTGTGTGTGAGAACCCAGTTCATATGAGTGAGTGAGTGAGTGAGTGATGGCCCCCACTTCAAGAGAATGCTAAATTCCTTTCACATGATCTGAATAAAAAAAGATAGAGTAAGTAAGCAAGTGTGTGTGTGTGAGAGAGAGTGAGTGAGAGACAAAGACATTTTGCGTCAATTATGGAGTGAGCCCCTTAATATCTATGAATTGGGCTTTACGAAGCTGGTGTAGATTATTAATTCATTTTTGATTATTTTTATTTTTTCGAGGGTCTCTATGATTATGGGGGTGTTGTCATGCCATGTCCAGCTAATCAAGTGGCCATTGATAAAAAGACAATAATGTCCTTTGCCCTTGCTCAGCATTCAACCCCTTTCACCTAATTCAGACACAAAGGTTGACTTGTGGAATTCATGTTTTAGAGCTAAATTCAAAGAAGAAAAATACTCATCTACGTGATTTCATTATTGGCTTTTCTTTTTGTTTTTCTTGTTTCTGTACTTTTACAAGTAATGGGGTTTAATCTCATTGCTGCACCACAGACAAAAGAAGAATACAGAAAAAAATGAAAGAATAAGAAGAAGAAAATGGCAGAGGAGGAGAAACTTTTAACTTTTTTATTGGGTTTTAGCCACTTCATTCAGTGTAGAGTGAAAAAAGAAAACATGTTGCTGACAATGGTAATTTTATTATAAGACTTCATTCAATGAATGGTGGTTATCTTATTCATTCATTGACAATGCATCAGCTACATGATCCCATGTAAAATGAAAAAGAATTAGGCTGGTAGTGTCAAACTATTTTGCTGCTTAGCATGAGAAAACACACATGAAAAAACACACAAAAAAATGACAATAAATAAAATAAAATCACGATTTTGATTTCAATCAGATCTCAAACTTATATTATTCTTTGAAAATCTGCAATAAAACTGGAAATGAAAGTATGTTTCTTTAACTTCAAATCAAAGTTAACTTGTCATGTATGGGCCCAAAGTATCTAATGATTTCCCTTGCAATAACCCCATTTTCATTTGATTTCAAGTTTAAGGTTAAACCAGGAAATTTTCAACATCAATAAAGAATGCAATTCTACAAAACTTGGTGTAATAAACGTAAAAAAATTCAACACACATGTGGAAGCCAGGCAACAACATCTGAATCTAACACATTTTGTTCATTGTAGTAATGAACCTCATTAGCCATGGAAGCCCAAGACACCAAACACCTCAGAAAAATTCCACACAATAAATCCAGAAGGTTCCATGGGTTTCATTAATGTGTCTCATGGCTATTGCATTTAAAGAAGCAGAAACAGGATTGCAGAAGAAGATGAAGAAGAAGAAGAAGCAGTAGAAGAAGTGGAGGTCATAATATATTAAAATATACCTTCAACTATTACAAATACTGGTTGACTCCATCTGGCTAGACCAAGAGGGGGTTGTCATAGTGGAACAAAAAACACAGCCACATCGTTTCTGTGATTATGGCTCTGCCTGGACTGAATGAGCTCCTCACAAGAAGGAAAAAAATTAAAAATTAAAAATTAAAAAATGTTAACAAAACAGAAAGGGAAAATCTAATTCTATGGGTTCTTTTTCCTGTGAGGAAATATGAATTTGAGCTGGGTTAGGGCTAAGCTTAGACAGCCTATAACAGGGGGAGGTTTAGAGTTAGAAGGAGGACACATGCTTTTGGGGAGTAATGCCACTGTATTGTCAGTTCTCACTGTGGGCATAATGCATTGGAGTTGGAGCTCTTAAAGCTGCAGAGAGGGAGGGAGGGAGGGAGAGAGGGAGAGTGCATAGGATCTTCCTCAAGCCTTTGTCTTACTAGAGAACCCAACTGCCACATACACACAGAGCAGGATTAAAAAAAAAAAAAAAAAAAAAAAAAACTAAAAACTTAAAGAAGAAGAGGGGAGAAAGAGGGTGAGAAACTGATGTTCAGAAGAATGTGCTGCTCTCCTTTGGGATAATTCAAACCTTTGTTTGTTGATCTGTCTTGTGCACCCAAAAAAGGGAATGTGCATTGGTTGATGCTGTGCTTGGAAAAGAAGATACTCTCAGGGGTAGTGTGAATTCATTAAAAAGTGATGTGGAATCAGGCAGGTTCTGAGTTTTCCAGATGGGTGTTGCACAAGCACCATGAATGCCCTTGGGGTTTGATGCTAGTTGGTGTGCATTCAACCCTGTGTTTGTGTCATGGGCACAACCAAGTTTTGATGCTGTAATGCAAAACTTTTCAAATTCTTTATATATAATTTCAATCTAAAACTTAGAAGTAAGACACCTAGAATGACAAGGTTGTTGAAGTGAAGAGATAGTATAACCACAACATTTGGTCAAACCACCATGTATACACACATACATACAAAGACACTATCTAAAACAAGCTTCTGTTGGAATATTTCCAAAGAATATTACAAAACATGTGAACTCTAAATGACAATGAAAGAGGTTTGAGGCATCATAAGGTGAGACAACTTTGCAATGTAATATCACCAAGTGCATGAATTTGATGTGGCAGCAACTTGGACCCCAATCAGTAGAGATCCACAGAATCTGATTTCGAGAGCAAAATTGCGAGCAGAAGCTTCAAGAGAAAATAATCAAGTCACAAGACGAGTTTTAAAATGGCTGAGAAACCTGGTGGAGACAAAATTTGGGTCGTGAAGCTTGAAGGAGTACAAAGCAACAGCCGTATGTACACAGATCCGAGCAAAGGTATTATTATTATTATTATTTATTGAATTGGGTATCCATCAAGGCCCTACTACTGTGAGACGCAAGGAGAGGCAAAGGGAAAGAATCTGGTTGACTTGGTAGAGAGACTGATCTCGGAGAAGATCTGAGATTGTTTTTACAAAAAATGCGTTTCTGGAACGTGGGCGAAGTATGTCAGATCCGCGGGCCCGCGATTCTGACACCGGGAGTCAGACGCTTGGGCACCGCAGCCATGGCTGCACTCAAGCGAGGAGGAGGAGGAGGAGGAGCTAGGCAATGAAGAAAACGAACTGCAGACAGACGGGGGGGCCCCAAACCCATGCTGTACCAGACAGACAATTGAGTAAGCAGAATCCCGCACAACCTTCCGCCGCTTGGATGTTGCTGTTTTAATGTAGTCGTTTGCCACCAGATCGTTTTACTCGAGTGGCGGTGTCGGACCTGTGCTTTCGGTTTGCATGATGCTAGCTGTGAGACACTGGTTGCGGAGGGGCGGAGGAGTTTGATGAGCTGTGTGTTAAGACTATCTGTGGAGATGCGTTTAGGAGCAGATTTCTGCTGGTTTTCAGGGCTAGTTTGCGGGCTACTTTTCGGAGTCGGTGTGAAGGAGCCACGGACATGGTGAGTGAGTGAGCTGGAGGGAGTGTACTTGAGGTTGAGGGTGCGTTGCCACCCACCGCGCCACCAGCTGCGAAGCACCGTGTACTGGAGAGTGTCCCTTCTAGAAAGTAGTCCTGAGGCGGGGATGGGATCGAATCGGCTTCGCACTTGACAAGTTTTGTGTTCTAGAATTCGACCCATGGTTACACAGAATGTGATGCATGGGCAGCGGGCGCTTGGTTTTTGTGTGAATCAGAAGACGTAATACTCGCCTATCCACGCAGTCGCGTCGGGGCGATCTTGAACATCGGCGCCGCCGCATGCGAGGTGAATATTTTTTCTGTTCTTTGGATCAGCTGATAATAGTTCCTGAGCAATGTATTCTTAACGTCAAGTTCCATTTTTTTTTTTTTTTTTTTTTTTTTTTTTTCATTCTTCCTTCTTCTTCTTCTTCTTCTTCTTCTTCTTAATATCGAGCAGTATGTGTTATCATAATTTTCGGAAAGCTGGAGGAGCGTTAGCCAATCGTATGCTGAATCCCGCGAATGTTGCCAGAGCCTGCAGTGTCGATAGTACTACTGCTTGAGTATTGAGCTAGCTCAAATTATTGCATATGAATAGGCTAGTGATGATGGAGTCTGTGTTGGAGCTGTTATGATCATCTTGGAGCCTTTTGTGATTGCGTTTAAATGCCGGTCAAGATGTCCATTTGTCTCAGCAAGACGCCGTTTGATAGACACAGATTTTTTTGCAGATATAAAATTGCATCTTGGAATGCACCTGTTGGCGATTGTAATTGAGCTAATATGCTTCTGAAATTTTAGAGGCGCGCTCAACGTGGGGTTAAACTGCGCTTCTTCCTGTTTCTCAATCGATCAATTTTTGCGAGTTCCAAAGCGAGTCTAAGGAATTGCCGACGGGGCTGACGCTTGTTAGGCAACGACAGAATGCGAAGATCAGTTTCAGTAACCATCGACCGGTCCCAGAATACTTGTACTCAAGATGAAGAAAAGAGGCTCTGACAAGCTCCCGAGACCATAAACGTCCAGCCATCTAATCTGGGGTAAGCTCAGATCACACAGGATCATTAAACGAGAGTATGTAATTATGCTCGGTTCGTTGCAAATTCTTGCTACAATGACGCCAACAAGGGTGATGATAATCGCCGTGTTGTTCATGTTTGGCCTTGCATCATTCTGTCCCCATGCCTCCGCCCAGTCAAGCAAGACAGACTTGGAAGCGCTGCTTAATTTTAAAGCAAGCATCACCAACTTCTCCCCGGAGATGCTCCCCGACTGGAACCCCTCGGCGTCCTCTCCTTGCTCGTGGGTAGGAATCACTTGCAACAGTCTCGGTCAAGTCACGAACGTTTCCTTGTATGAAATCGGATTCACAGGTACCATCTCCCCCGCTCTCGCGTCGCTCAAAAGCCTCGAGTATCTCGACTTGAGCTTGAACTCCTTCTCCGGGGCTATTCCTGGGGAGCTTGCCAACCTGAAGAACTTGCGAGTTCTCGATCTCAACTCGAACAATCTTCTCTCGGGGACGATTCCTGAGAGTTTCTGGACAGGTCTGTTCAAGCTGGAGTATATGGATTTGAGCTACAACATGATCTCGGGAAACATCCCCATGGAGATAGAGAATTTGAAGATGTTGAGCACGCTCATCCTTGCCGGGAATTCCTTCACAGGGGTGATCCCGCAGCAGCTCACCGGGCTGATAAACCTCGTGCGATTAGATTTGAGCATGAATTCCTTCGAAGGCGTACTTCCGCCACAGTTGTCTCGATTGTCGAACCTGGAGTACATCTCCGTGAGCTCGAACAACTTGACTGGCGCGCTTCCAGCCTGGAACGATGCGATGTCGAAGCTTCAGTATGTCGATTTTAGCAGTAATTTGTTCTCCGGACCTATTTCGCCGTTGGTAGCCATGTTGCCGTCGGTGGTGCATTTGGATTTGAGTAACAACACGTTTACGGGAACTGTGCCTTCTGAGATCTGGACCATGGCAGGATTGGTGGAACTAGACCTCGGGGGGAATCAGGCCTTAATGGGAAGCATTCCTCCCGAAATCGGCAATTTGGTCAATCTGCAGAGCTTGTACATGGGCAACTGCCATTTCAGCGGGCTCATTCCGGCGGAGCTTTCGAAATGCATTGCCCTGAAGAAGTTGGACCTGGGCGGAAATGACTTTTCGGGAACTATCCCAGAATCCTTCGGCCAGCTGAAAAACCTCGTCACCTTGAACTTGCCCGACGTCGGGATCAATGGCTCCATTCCGGCGTCCCTGGCCAACTGCACCAAGCTCGAGGTTCTCGATGTAGCCTTCAACGAGCTCAGTGGGCCGCTTCCGGACTCGCTCGCTGCTCTTCCAGGTATCATCTCGTTCTCCGTGGAGGGTAACAAGTTGACAGGACCGATTCCGTCATGGCTCTGCAACTGGCGAAATGCTTCTGCACTGCTCCTCTCCAACAACCTCTTTACGGGGTCAATCCCTCCAGAGCTCGGCGCCTGTCCCAGTGTCCATCACATCGCTATTGACAACAATCTCCTCACGGGCACTATTCCTGCGGAGCTATGCAACGCGCCCAACCTCGACAAAATCACGCTAAACGACAACCAGTTGTCTGGAAGTTTGGACAAAACTTTCGTCAAGTGCTTGCAGTTGTCCGAAATCGAGCTCACAGCCAATAAACTGTCCGGCGAAGTGCCACCGTACCTCGCAACGCTGCCGAAGCTCATGATTCTGTCACTGGGGGAGAACAACCTGTCCGGCACCATCCCCGAGGAGTTGTGGGGTTCGAAGTCGCTGATTCAGATTCTTCTCTCCGACAACCAGCTCGGCGGGAGTCTTTCTCCTTCAGTTGGAAAGATGATTGCCCTGAAATATCTCGTCCTGGACAACAATAACTTCGTAGGCAACATCCCGGCAGAGATCGGTCAACTGGCGGATCTCACTGTGTTCTCGATGCAGGGCAACAATCTGTCAGGGCCCATACCTCCAGAGCTTTGCAACTGCGTCCGCCTCACGACTCTTAACCTGGGCAACAATACTCTCTCGGGAAGCATTCCTTCCCAGATTGGGAAACTTGTAAACCTCGACTACTTGGTTCTCTCCCACAATCAGCTCACTGGACCAATTCCCGCTGAGATTGCGGCCGATTTTCGCATCCCTACCTTGCCCGAGTCCAGCTTTGTGCAGCATCATGGCGTTTTGGACCTCTCGAACAACCGCTTGAATGGGAGCATCCCGACCACCATCGGAGAGTGTGTGGTGTTGGTGGAGCTCAAGCTCTCTGGGAACCAATTAACCGGGCTCATACCCTCTGAGTTGTCGAAGCTAACAAACTTAACAACACTGGATTTCTCCAGGAATAGGCTCAGTGGAGACATTCCTACCGCGCTCGGGGAGCTTCGAAAGCTTCAGGGAATCAACCTAGCATTCAACGAGTTGACAGGGGAGATTCCAGCGGCTCTCGGGGACATCGTCAGCTTGGTGAAGCTGAACATGACGAACAACCACCTCACAGGCGCGATTCCCGAGACGCTTGGGAATTTGACAGGGTTGTCCTTTCTTGATTTGAGTTTGAATCAGTTGGGTGGAGTGATCCCTGTCGCACTTTCGAACCTTGTTTCTGTTGTAGGGCTCAATTTGCAGCAGAATTTCTTCTCAGGAACTATTCATGGTCTCTTGTCGGAAAGCTCCGTGTGGCATCAAATGCAAACACTCAACTTGAGCTACAATCAACTCAGCGGCGACATTCCGGCAACGATCGGCAACCTTTCCGGGTTATCGTTCCTTGATCTGCGAGGAAATCGTTTCACGGGAGAAATACCGGATGAGATTGGCAGCCTTGCGCAGCTAGATTACTTGGACCTCTCTCACAATCACCTCACAGGACCATTTCCAGCAAACTTGTGCGACCTCCTCGGTTTGGAATTTCTGAATTTCTCGTATAACGCCTTGGCTGGTGAAGTACCCAACCGCGGCAAGTGTGTTGCACTCACAGCAGATCAATTTCTGGGCAACAAGGCGCTGTGTGGCGATGTCGTGAACTTTGTTTGCCGAAAGCAGAGCACTTCGAGTATGGGCATAAGCACGGGAGCCATTCTGGGGATCTCCTTGGGAAGCTTAATAGCGATTTTGATTGTGGTGTTTGGCGCACTCCGCTTGCGCCAGCTGAAGCAAGAAGTAGAAGCCAAAGACCTGGAGAAGGCGAAGCTTAATATGAACATGGCCTTGGATCCTTGCAGCTTGAGTTTGGACAAGATGAAGGAGCCTCTGAGCATCAATGTAGCCATGTTCGAGCAACCCCTGCTTCGTCTCACTCTCGCCGACGTGCTCCGCGCCACAAACGGCTTCAGCAAGACGAACATCATTGGCGACGGCGGATTCGGGACGGTTTACAAGGCCCATCTCTCGGACGGGCGAATTGTCGCCATCAAGAAGCTAGGTCACGGCCTCTCGCAAGGGAATCGAGAATTCCTTGCAGAGATGGAGACGCTTGGTAAGGTGAAGCACAGACATCTGGTGCCGTTACTCGGCTACTGCTCCTTCGGCGAGGAGAAGCTACTGGTTTACGATTACATGATAAACGGCAGCCTTGACCTATGGCTCCGCAACCGAGCAGACGCGCTTGAAGTCCTGGACTGGCCAAAGCGGTTCCGCATCGCTCTAGGATCCGCCCGTGGCCTTTGCTTTCTCCACCATGGATTTATTCCGCACATCATCCACCGCGACATCAAGGCAAGCAACATCCTCCTCGACGCAAATTTCGAGCCTAGAGTTGCGGATTTCGGGTTGGCGAGGCTGATAAGCGCTTACGACTCCCATGTAAGCACCGATATTGCGGGGACGTTTGGGTACATTCCTCCAGAGTATGGCCAGAGCTGGCGATCCACCACGCGTGGCGATGTTTACAGCTATGGCGTGATTCTTCTGGAGCTCCTTACGGGGAAGGAACCGACGCGGGATGACTTCAAAGACATCGAAGGGGGGAACCTCGTCGGCTGGGTTAGGCAGGTCATAAAGAAGGGGGAGGCTCCCGAAGCGCTAGATCCCGAAGTCTCGAAAGGGCCATGCAAGCTTATGATGCTCAAGGTGCTGCACATCGCAAACCTGTGCACCGCGGAGGATCCCATTAGGCGCCCCACCATGCTCCAGGTTGTGAAGTTTCTCAAGGATATTGAAGACCAGGATCGCGCATAGCCTTCCAACGCTAGATCCATCATGGCAAGCACTTCCCCTATACACCTCTCAGCTTCTTGTTAGCTGATCCATCACATGCCGAGCATGTTTTTTGGTGGCAATCCAAGCCCCCGTTCTAACATCCGGAGATTTTCTTTCGGTTTTCAGTGCAGAATTTGTTTGCTACAGAGCTTTTAGATTCAAAGTCCTATCGCTGGAATTGATCTACCCCCCCCCCCGCGTGCTTCATTTTCAAGGTGTGTATGTGTGTCTGTGGATAGATCTCAACCTGGCTTGCAACATTTCTTTGTGTTGTTTTTGTGATGATCATGGAACATGTTTTTTGTGATTCTCCCTTTTCTTACAGTCTTCATCTGTCTGCGCAGTTCCCACGATTCTTTCACGCCCGGGGTGTGCCATTGCGGCTCCACCGACACTCCCCCATATACAAATTAGGTGCTGCACTTCGATTGTTTTTGTCAAAGATAACATAGTTAGTAAACAGATTTGTATCATTGTTTAGACCCGCTGTACATGTTAGAGCATTTGATAGCGCCACGAGAAGGAAATGAACTTTTAGCTCCGAGTGGCATTCTCGAGACATTGGGCGCCATGCAACATTCCTGCACTGCAATCTATAAATTGAGTTCATTGAGTCAATGATCATTTATACCTTAGAAGGGTGATCGGTCCCAGAGCAGTGTACCCGTTCGAGGACTCATTCGTGTAGCAGCTTGCTGTCACCATTGAGCTAAATAAAAGCGGATTCCACCGGCAAAATTGAATAATCTTTTTCTTATATATAAAATATAAAATATATAAAAAAAAAAAACACACCAAAACGCTACAACCTCGTCGCTGAAAAGGTAGCAATTCAAGTTCATTAATTTCCAACGCTCCAAGTTAACACCTCTGAGTAAACCAATCAATACAGACCCAGTACTAGAAGCTACGTAGGCACTACAACATTGAAACAGAAGCTTGAGCTGCAGCTTGAGCTGGAGACAATGCGTTATTTTTCCTTGGAGCTGGAATCTGGCACACGAACCTAGTTTGTCGAACCCATCAGTTGACAGCCAGCCCTACTACAACCAATCTGACAACGCTCTGCTGCGTAGCACCGTTTTGCACCGACACAGCCCAAGGCTCTCGTCAAATCGCTCAACGCCTCTAGTTTTTATTTGTCATGGTCAGCATGAGTGAAAATATATACCGATGCTCCTGAGTGAGAAAATAACTGGCAACTCCGCTCCCACAGTGAATGCGTAACGCACCCTAGTGAGATAATCCACTGTCTGCAGCAAAATCAGCTGGCTACTGCTCCTCCTCTGATGAGGCCATGCTTAAGGAACAATCAAAGGAAGCAGAAAAGTAGAAAGCCAGGAGCAGTTTTGGTTTTTTTGTTTTTTTTGGTTTTTTTCTGGAACATGGATGGCACAGAGAGATATTCTGGCATGAAATCCACTTGGAACTCACGCATTCTGAGATTGCACAATGGCTTCCTTCAGGTATGGATTGGTGAAGCTTAACCCTGCGTGGGTTTAGTGATGCTTAACTTAGCTCAAGTTTTAAGCACCTCAGAAAATAATATGCTGCAAAACACATTCATAACACCTCTGCCCAAGAAATTTTGCTCCACATGAGCAGAGCCTTGACACAGGATCATACTTTCTGATCTGTTTTTGTAACACACATGGGATCACGTGCATCTGAGATCGTTGCGTTTCAGTTTTGAAGCATTTGTGGGGGTTTTAAATGAGGATACTTAGACACAAGATTGAGAGGAGGGCTGTCCACAAGATTGCAGTGTGGGGTAGAAGAATATGTATGTGCTCTAGTTTACTTACAAAAACGAGACATTGTGGGCTGAGTTGTTGGTCGACTTCTCACAAGCTTTGGAATTGGCTTTGCCTTGGCCAATGTTTGTCATCTATTATATTTTAGCTTTTGATACAGTCATTACACTCTAATCTCTTTTGTACTATTGTATGTGTTTTAAATTTTACATAAAATTTCCTTGTAGAAACTTTACCACTAAGCTTATATTTATCTTTTGATACATGAAAATTTGTAAAACACATTATTTATAATATTTTTTCTATAATTCAAACGGAAATTAAATCATGTCAAAAATTAAATATTGGGAATATAAATAGAAATATAAATATTTGCATAATACTAAAAGAGTTTAAAACTTTTTTAATACCTATAAAAGTAATAGTATTATCCCTTACTATAATTTTCTTTAAGAGTTTATCATCACTCATTTTCTTTTTTTTCTATTTACTATATAAATAATATTTAATGACTTCTTTAGAAGTTAATATTTATATATAATAATATAATAATATAATACCTATTTTTATCAAAAATAAATTTATAAAATTAGATTGTTATTTTTTTCTTTAAATTTATATTAATACTAAAATTCTTAGAAAAGATTTTGTCAAAGATTTACATATGTTTCATAGAACTTCTACTATCTTTATATTTGAATATAGTAATATAATATATTTTTTAAAAAATACATATATATATATATATATATATATATATATTAAAGAAATTCTATTACTTAAAAACTTTACTATATAACCAACTCTTTAGAGAAAATACTTTATTTGTTTCATTGTAGAATTCTTTGTAAGAAAACTCAATCAAATTATAACCTTGGTTCTAAAACTTTTTTTTTTTTTTTTTTTTTTTTTTTTTGTTTGTTTGTGTTGCTAACATAAAATAATCCTTTATAAAAATTTATACAATAATAAGCAAACAAAGGCTTGTTCTTTATATACTTGATATAATCCATTTTTTTTTATTTCTATTAAATTTGTATATGTCAAATTTTGCTATAGGATTTTATTTGCATCACACATTTAAAATTCTAATATTTATATTAATATTTAATTTTATAAAATTAGCAAATAACCAAAGATAATATATACACATATATATAATATAGGTATAATGTAATTCAATTTAAATTACGTTCTTTAAAAAAGAATAAAAAAGAATAAAAGATAAAATCTTATGTAGAAAGTTGAATAATAAATATTTTATACTAATTACTATTAACATTCTAATTGTAATTTTATTAAATACAATATAATATAAATAAATTTTATATTAAGTTGTAAGAGATTACTAGATTAAAATCTTCTTTCCTTCTCTTTTCATAATTGGGATTAATAATTATCATGCAAAATACATGCTTATTTTTGGTACTATATACAATATTGTATTAAATGAATGAAGAACTGATATTGACATCAAATTAGTTTTATTAAAAGTACCAATTTCAAAAAAAAAAAAAAAAAAAAAAAAAAACACTGCTTTGTTATCGAATATAAAATTTTAAGAAAATACAAGTTTACTAAAAAATAAAAATACAAAGTATTCAAATGTCTTGTGCACCAATGTGAATAAAGTATTAATTTTCATACACAAGAAAAAAATATTTTATTTTAATCTAATAATTATTGGATTTAAATATAGAATTGAAATAGTTAATTTCAATAATGAATATGTTACTTATAGTTGTGATTATTTTATGTAGTGGTGCATATATTTGTTGCAAGTATTAAATATTAAGTATTAAAATTAGAGGTTTGATTTTGCAATAAAATCATGAATCCCATATATAAAATTATAATTTAAATTAGGAATTGGATAATAGTTGAAATTCATTTAATTATTTGTGATTTACAATTAGAATCATTTAGTTCGTAATTAGAAAGATAAAAAAATATAAAAAAATATTAGTGCACTAATAAGTGTTGTCACTTATTTTGATATTATTAGTAAATAAGTAGTAATTTTTTAATTTTTTAATAGATGAATCATTGAAAATAAAAATTTAAGTTGTAATTTTTTATTTTATTTAAATAATAAAAAACATATATCATACTAAAAAAAACTTTACTATCTTATAGATGTACCACCATAGATTACTAAAAGCATTAAAACATAGGACTTATGTTAAACTGGAAGGATTTATTTTACATGACAATGTGGCTAATATTAAATACTGACTAAATGTTTCATGTCTGTACCAATTGCATAGGGATTTTAAAATGAAATTTGGATTCCAAAATCATTTACACAATCACAATGTTGTAATTTCAAATGAAAATATATTTTATTATATTGTAAAATATTACTCATCAAACAAAGACATAAATAGACATAGGTAGGGCATGGATGAGGCGTATGGGGGTGCTAGTGGCTGCCAATCGGTATTAGAGACAGATGTCGCCGGAGATTCTCGAGCGTGTATAAGACCGTGAATTAGTGCGACTGTGGTTCTGAATTGCGGTTGAAGAAGTGCAGTGTCGCGGTGTTCTGGCGATTCGAGTGCTGCGGTCGGTAGTGCTGTGCAGCAGGGGATTCCAGCACCGTGTCTTTGTGATTTCTTCCTTCAAGTTACCATCGTAGTGGCGACGTAGTCTAGGTTCTCTCCTTGTGCGATGAGGGTGGCTGCTAATGTACTATTACTTCCGTCGTATTCGGTGTCTACCGCACTAGTGCGGTGCTGTGGTGCTATTCAGCGCCACTCCTGGTTTTCTCCGTGTTTGTGTTTTTGCTGATCTTGTTTGAGTCGTCGTTGGGCAGGGCTGCGGTTGACGAGTTGGATTACTAGTGCATTGCGGGAGCAGCATTAACGTGCTGGTGGCGTCATCTTGAAGCTAGAGCTCTAGTTGTTCAGATGGCTAATTAAAAAATTGGGGTCGTATGTTGAACTCGGCAACGATTTTTTGGAGCTCCGATTTTTCTGGTCTCCGCATTGTTTCGAGGGGCTTGCATATTGCGTTGCGTGGCTTTCGGCGTTCCCACGCGTATCATGATTGTTGAGATACCTCACTTCTCCTTTCAGTCTTCAGTGTGGGATGGCCTTAAACCATTGATTTTGTGCCCCTGTAACCTGTATTAATTTATTCCCCCTCTAGGTGTCCTGTCGGGCTGTAGTGTCAAGCCCCCGTGGTTTAAGGAGCATGAGCGTTGTGTGGAAGGTGATTTCGTGTCTGCACGACTGATCCGTTCCCTGTGCCGAAGAGAGGGTCCAGTCTGGCTTGAATGGAAGTCGCGAAGTGCTTTTTGGTGGAGAGTATTTGAGGCGCTCGAGGTTTTGTTGTATTCTTCAACGCCTGGTTCATGTGTATTTGAGAAGCGGCGCTGAGCGAGTCGTGGTGGATCATTTGCGGACAATCTGGACAATGAGTTGTGATTTTCTTAAAACCTGATTGAGAAACGGCGATCTTGTTAGTCATCCAATCTCCAAGGGAGATTGTTGAACTGCAATTGAAGAGCCTCTTTCGGAATCCTCTACGACAAAAGTTATCGAGAGTGACTTGTGTACTTTGTTACATAGATATTTTAAAGGTTTGAACTTTGCATCTTGTTGATAGATTATTTTAGTTGTGTATAAAAGTTTTTAGGTGGATTTCTTTAAGTAGAAGTAATTTAAGGTTTTGATTTTTGACTTAAGATTAGTATTTTTATAAGTTGAAATGAGATGATTAAAATATGTACATAAATGAAGCTATGTATATAGGATTATTTAAGAGTGATGGTTTGGTTTTAGAAACATAGATTCATTTTGTAGGAAAAAAAATCGTATGGTTTGTGGAACAATTTGTATAAAAGATAAGTTTTTTTGATTAGTTTTTTTGAAATTCTAAATAAATTTAGAATGTATTTTATTATAGGTGGTGAAATTTATTTTGTTCTTTTACTAAATCAAGATGGGATGGCTTTTAGAATTATAGAAGAAATATATATATATATATATATATATATATATATATGGTTTGGAGCTATTTACATGGTCTTTCTATGACAAGATCTTGAAGCACTATGGAACAACATGAAGAAATAACAAATATGCATGGTATTTGTGGAGATATTTGGAAAGGTTTTAAAATATATATTAAAGCATCCAAGGTTTTATTGAAGAAAAAAAATATGTTGAATAGAAACCAATGTACTAATTTGTGCAAGAAAATTGAAAATGTTACAAAGTTTTTTGACCACCTAATGACTTGCACCAATGATAAATTGGAGTTTGGATTTCTATTAAGTGAGTTATTTTTTATATTGAATAAATCTTATTCTTTAGTAAAGAAGTGTGGAAAACCAAATTGGTTTGAAGAAGCTATCTTTCAATCCAATAACAAAGAGACTTTTAGAGAACTAATTTTGGATTTAAAATGTTGTTGTGATATTGCAAGTAATATGCTTTTAAAGCATTATCCCAACAAATTTGAAGATATCATGTTTGCTACTTTTAGTATTGCAACATGTCAAGAAGTAGAAGATGATGTTATATTTAAACATGAGAGATTGATCCATGTAAGTAAAGAAGAAGATTTTGAATATCATGCATTAATAAAGCATCTATTATAAAGATGCAAAGACTTGTATTATATGGAAATTGGAGAATTGGATGCTTTGAATTTCACAAAAGACATGAGAAGTCTTGAAATTATAGAATGTGTGAAGGAAAAATCTAGATCTTTTGGAGAAGTTTATAAATCTAAGTGGTTGGGACTTTTGTGTGCAACTTAAAAAATGGATGTTGCATTTGATAAGTTCTTCATCAAAGAAGTGAACATTCTAACAAGTGTAAGCCATCGAAATTTGATAACATATTATTTTGCAATGAAAGGTAGTATTAATGGAAGTGTTGAATCTTTTGAAATAAAAGACAAAAAAAAATATTTATATATTGAAATGGAATTGATGCAAAATAATTTGAACAATATGTTGGAAGAAGAAAAAGAAGTATCTTATATTTTTCTTATTGACATCATGCATCAAATTGCAAAAAGAATATGTTACTTGCATGACATACACATTGCACATCGTGGTCTAAAGCCTGAGAATATTTTGGTTAATATTGTAGAACCAAAGATTAAGAATAAGATTATTCGACATACTATTGTGAAAGTAATTGACTTTGGAATGTCCAAGGTTGAAGTTGGAAGAAATTCAATAGCCACAAAGAATAATTACATTTATGGTAGTCCTAAATATACGGCTCTAGAGGCATTAAAAAATAGATTTCAAACAATGGAAATGTGACCTTTTGAAGTTGGTGTTTACTCATTTGCAATAATATGTTCTAAGATTCTTTCAAAGAAAGATCCATTTCATGATTTTTGTGACACAAAAAGAATATTAGAAAGAATTGAAAAAGATAAAAGACCAAAGTTACCTTCAAATTGTGTTGACTTGATAAAGCTTATCAAAGAATGTTAGAGGTTGTATCTCTGGATGACATATTTGCTAATAATGATACCACATTGATTGCAACCACTTGAGATTCAAAAGCAATAGAGTATTAAAGTGAAGAGGTTCGTATAATAAATATTGAAGAATTTGATGAAGAAATAAGTATGAAGTTGTTTATTATTCATTCTTGTGGCCAAGAAAATCTACCCAATGAATTAGTTAAAGTTAGCAAAAAGATTGTAAGAGCTTGCAATGACCTACCATTGAGTCTAAAAGTTATGGGAGCTTTTTTGAGTGAGAGTAAGAGATTGAGATGTTGAAAGCAAGCTCTACAAAAGTTGAAAAGTGGAAGAGTGTTAGATGGAGATGAAAACAATAGTAACTACAAGATTTGGAAGATACTAAGAGTAAGCTTTGATAATTTGAAAGTTGAAGAGAAGAAAATATTTTTGGACATATGTTATTTTTTTAGTAGTAATGTGTACCTACAAGGCATGTCAAAAGAAAGAGCATTATGAATGTGGGCCAATAGTAAAAAAAACATATTTGAATATGATGTGAAAGTTATGTTAGATACATTAATTTATCAATCATTGGTAAAAGTAGACAAAGATGGAATTATAAGAATACATAATCAATTGCAAGACATGGGTAGAAACATTGTTGAGAAGGAAATGGATTATAAATATGCACAAATGTGGAACTTGAATGTAGATCCATTTCATGGATTATCAAACAAGGTAAGTTTATATAACTATTATCTGAATGACATATATAAAACTAATAATAGTATTAAAAAAATCAAAAATTAAAAGTAAGAGGTTTTTTGATTGTATATTATATTATTTATATTATATATTTTAGATGTATAGATGTAAAGTTATTATGTAAAATATGAATCTTTTATTATAAATAGAATTGTATATACATTAAATATAATATTGATATAAAAATTGTAATATGATTGTATATTTAATTATGTTGGTTTTTAGTTGGAGGGGTTATTTTACAATAACACAAATAACAATATTATAAGTGAAATAAGAAGTGATTCTTTTTCATCACTTCAATTTTTAAGTTGTAGTATTGGTGAATTTGCATCTAATATTATTATATTGATACTAAACATATTTTTTGTGTTGATAAAATATTCTCTTAGTTTAAAATATTTTATATTAAATATGCCATAGAGATATACTTACCAAGAAAATTAGCAAAAAAAGCATTGCAAATGCTATATGACATAGATGTTTGGAAAAAGTTTGAGAGTTTAAATATCTTGCAATTGAGAAATTATTCTTTTACAAAAACATCTCTTGATTCATTTTTTAGAATATCTACATTATTGGAACTTGACTTAGAAGGATGTTCAAACTTAACTACACTACCAAATGAATTTGAGTATATGACTTCTTTGAAGATACTTAATTTAAAAGATTGTATACAATTACATTCATTACCAACATCAATAAAAAGTCTTCTCTATTTAAAAAACTTTCATATAAGTGGGTGCTTAAGGTTGACATCATTGCCAAATGAAATAGGCAATCTCACATCTTTGACTATTTTTAACATAAGGAGATGCTTTAGATTGAAATAATTGTGAAATGAATTAGGCAACCTCACATCTTTGACTACCTTTGATATAAATAATCAAGCTTGACATCATTGCCAAATAAATTAGGCAACCTCAAATCTTTGATAACTTTTGATATTAGTGATTGTTTAAGTTTGACATCATTGCCAAATGAATTGGACAATCTCACATCTTTGACTACCTTTGATATAAGTGAATACTCAAGCTTGATATCATTGCCAAATGAATTAGGCAACCTGACATCTTTGACTACCTTAAATATAAGTAAATGCTCAAGCTTGACACCATTGCCAAATGAATTGGATATTTTGATATTTTTAACTAACTTTGATATAAGTGGATGCTCGAGCTTGACATCATTACCAAATGAATTGACCAATCTCACATCTTTGATTAAATTTGATATAAGTGAATGCTCAAGTTTGACATCATTGCCAAATGAATTGGGCAACTTCACATCTTTGTCTACCTTAAATATAAGTAAATGCTTAAGCTTGATATCATTACCAAATGAATTGGATAACTTGAAATTTTTAACTAACTTTGATATAAGTGGATGCTCAAGCTTGACATCATTACCAAATGAATTGACCAATCTCACATCTTTGACTAAATTTGATATAAGTGAATGTTCAAGTTTAAAATAATTATTAAATGAATTTGGCAACCTTATATCTTTGACTATCTTGAATATATGAAGGTGCTTAAGCTTGACATCTTAGCCAAGTAAATTTAAAAATCTTGCATCTTTGACTTCCTAAAATATAAGTTGGTACTCAAACTTGATATCATTGTCAAATGAATTGGGCAACTTCAGATCTTTGACTATCTTTATCATAAATAAATATTCAAGCTTTACATCATTGCCAAATGAATTGAATAACTTCACATCTTTGAATACCTTTTATATAAATGAATGCTCAAGCTTGACATCATTGCCAAATGAAATGGGCAACCTCACATCTTTCACTACCTTAAATATAAGTTGGTACTCAAGCTTGACATCATCGTCAAATGAATTGGGCAAACTCATATCTTTCACTACCTTTATCATAAGCAGGTACTTAAGCTTTACATCATTGCCAAATGAATTCATCAATCTCACATCTTCGACTACCTTTTATATAAATGAATGTTCAAGCTTGACATCATTGCTAAATGGATTGAATAACCCCACATCTTTGATTACTTTAAATATAAGTTGGTGCTCAACCTTGACATCATTGCCAAATGAATTGAGCAACCTTTCATCTTTGACCATCTTTAATATAAGTATGTGCTTAAAATTGACATCATTACCAAATTAATTGGACAATCTTACATCTTTGAATATCTTATAAATGGGAGAGTGTTCAAGTTTGACATCATTGCCAAATGAATTGGATAACCTTACATCTTTGACAATCTTAAAAATGAATGAATGTTCAAGTTTGCTATTATTGCCAAATGATTTAAAGACTATTTATTATTTTTAGACTAATTGAATATTTTTGTATACCATGTTAAATTCTAAAAATTAAAAAAATATATTTTTTTAGTAAAAGTTATATTAATTAGTATTTGGAGTAGTAATTATAAAAAAAAGGTACATATGTAATATATTAAGTAGGAAGATAAGGCTAAAGCTTTGTGGCTCTCCTAAGATTACATAAGTGTATTTGACATTTTTGTCTCCTTACTTTTTATTTTGGCTTAATCAATCCTACTTCTATTTTTGGTGTCTATATTTTTAATGGGATAAATAACTTATTTTTAAGTTTTTAGTTTACAAAATATAATAACTTCAACTTCATTTTTAGAATCTTGATTTTTTTTTATAGAAAGATTTTTGAT